AAACTGAATTCAGACAAGGATTAAGAGTCGAAAACGGTACAACGAATCGTTTGCTTTCTCTCACAATTTAAGGAAGCATCAAAGCTTCCACGCTTCGCGCGGGAGGAGGGAAACTGAATTCAGACAAATTAGGGTTAAGAGTCGCGAACGGAAAAACAAATCGTCTGCTTTTTCTAATGATTTAAGGAACTGTCAAAGCTTCCGCACTTCGCGCGAGAGGGGGGAACTTAACTTAAACAAATAGGGTTTATTAAGAGTCAAAAACGGTACAACGAATCGTCTGCTTTCTCTAATAATTTAAGGAAACTTCAAAGCTTCCGCGCTTCGCGCTAAAGGGGGGAACTGAATTCAGACAATTATAAGGGCTTATTAAAAGTCGAAAACGGTACAACGAATAGTCTTCTTTCTCTAATAATTTAATGAAACGTCAAAACTTATGCGCTTCGCACGGAGGGGGAAACTTCATTCAGACAAGGATTAAGAGTCGGGAACGGTACAATAAATCGTCCTAATAATTTAAGGAAACGTCTAAGCTACCGAGCTTCGCGCGGGAGGGGGAGAAACTGAATTCAGACAAGGATTCAGAGTCGAGCACGGTTTTACGAATCTTCTACTTTCTCTAAAAGTTTAATGAAACGCCAAAACTTCCGCACTTCGCGCGAGAGGGGGGAGGAGAAACTTCATTCAGACAAGGATTAACAGTCGAGAACGGTACAATAAATCGTCCTAATAATTTAAGGAAACGTCTAAGCTTCCGCGCTTCACGTGGGAGGCCTATCACCTACACCCCCCTAATGAGCGCGTTTCGCGACCTCTTTAAGTGATTCGTTTGCTCACTACCGCCCCTCCCTGAAATAAGATCCTAGCTCCGCGCCTGCATTAAAATATATAGCTATGATGCTGACTAAGTTGACGAAATAATTCATATATTTACGTCGTCAAGGAAAACGACTATTTGCGCATACGCAGGTACTACAGATAGTCCATAGGAAAAACAATTTAGCCTTCGGCCCCGGGTTTATAGGGTTAAATTTATAGATATTGGGACATTTAATTTTGTCGGTAATTGGTGGCTAGTTTTGTCGGTAATAGTTTGCCTCTACACCCCCCCCCCCTCTCCCCACTGAAAAAGGTCTAGCGACGCCCATGGGTGACACGAGTGAATAACAGTATGCAAGATAACGACGATGAAATAACATACGAAGCAAAAGCTAAGTAATAATCTCAAATTGTCTGAGACAGAATTAGTACACTTTCTAAAAGTAATGTATTTTTCATTCATCTTATTATTATTACAATTGGATTTCCATACAATGAAACTAATTGAGTGGTCACTTAGCCCGCTGTGAATTACCCACCAGGACTTAATTTTATCAACGGAATTAGTTACTATATGGTCTATTAAGGATGACGAACTATTCACAATTCGAGTGGGTTTAGTGGTATTTATCTGGTTCATTGAGTATATATTATTAATTTGATTATAATTCTTAGTTTTCAGATGTAAAGGTTGTTTTAAGATATCACAGTTTGTATCACCCATCATTATCAGATGACAGTTAAATCCAGATGCAAAAGAAATAAGTTCATCATAATAATTAAAAACTTCATATTTTGAATTAGGAGGTCTGTACCAGTTAATAAAGATAGGTTTTGTATTCTTTAGTCGAATAATAATAGGTATGGCCTCAAGGTGGGAAAGAGAATCGTGCTCTAAAACTGAATAAATAAGACTTTCATGTATATAAATAGCAACTCCACCTCCAGATCTATTTCTGTCCTTTCTGACAATGAAATAATGAGGTATTTCAATTTCAGAACTTCTGATGCTATCATCCAGTCTAGTTTCATTGAATGCAAAAATGTGAAGTTGGTTTTTCATAACAATAGATCGCAATTATCAATATTCTTAAGTAAACTGGCAATGTTAAGATGATCAAATTTCAGACCCTTAATAGATAATTCTGAATATTTCTTAAAGCTAATATCTTGATTTTTCTGGGTGACCTCTGATTTATCCTTATGAGAATTTGATAATACATTCAGGTACATTAGTAGATTCATCATAAAATGGCAATACTTTCATGATACATTTCGGGCACCGCCATTCCAAAAATAATTCAGACATGTCATTATACACTTTGACAGGAATATTAGCGCAGGAGATATGAACCCAATCATCACAAGAAGTACAAAGAAGTGCTCTATGGTTGACTTTAACAAGATTATTGCATAATGCACATAAAAAAATTGATGTTCATTACAAACAGAAAACAGAAAATACAAAATCAATATGAAACCAATTAAGTGACAAAAAACAAAAACAAAAACAAAACAAATATATATTAAAACAAAATAATAAAAATGGATATATATATATATATATATATATATAACAACAACAGCAATATATATATATATATAAATATGTTTGCACACACAAGTGGAGACAAACCGAAACTGGAGCGGGAGCAGTACTAAATCACATATCAATACATGTATGTTATAACAGAGAATGATTATTATTAACTTTACAGGTTCATTCAAAGCAGTAGCCTTGCATAATATCACAATACGGTCATTTAGGAGAGGAAAAAAAAGAAGAAAAAGACTTGCCTGCGGGCAGGCCTAATGATCAATAGGTATTATTGCATATCATTAAGTGGCAAAACATAAAGATAAAGAACCAGAAGCACCAGAGTGGACCATGAATACTCCTAGAATCCATGGTCATATAATACAAAGGAGCAACATAACAAAAGAGTCTACTCATTATATATAGAGTATATAGAGTATGAGAGAGTTATACGAAGTAGAGAACTACTATTACAATCTGAGTCTATGCAGTCAGTGTCAATGACCAATAGTTGAACTTCACTGTATAGCGATTAGTTTCAAAGTGCAAAAGAAGTACATAAAAAGCAGTTAATCCGCATAGACATTTTGGGCGTGGAGTAGCAACTCCCAAATCTTCTTTCTTGTTATACCACTGAACAATTCACCCTGAGAAGAACCTTCTCGTTGTATAATGAATAAGGTATTGTGAGATGGTACACATACACTAAAAAAAGTTATTCAGCCCAATACTGACATCAGTGGGATCAACGACAATGATCACTTATACGTCTAAATCAGAGAAGATCGCCATTTTCTTGAATGTACGAAAATATTACAAATTCGTGAATATAGAAAATATACATGAGTTATTATAAAATAAGCAATAACACAAAATAGTCAGCTAATCATTGTAGAACCAAAAAATGATATAATACTGAGTAAACACGAATAATAATAAATAGATGAGCTGGGTATATGGGTAGTATGTAGCAATGACACAAAGAATGGGATCAGGTTCGATTTACATATATTTAAGACGTCGAAAGTATGACTTAGATTTTCTCGATATGACTCACCCTCGTGCTGTCGATAACTGCAGTGATGTGCCTTCTTAGTAATTATAGTAATTATATATCTCTTTACTCAACGTAGATTACAAGATCTTTACTATGATACTTTCTAAAAAAAATACGAACGACTTTGAGAAATATATTGTGCCCATGCCTTGAGCCATAATGCATGGCCATTCAGAGGATTTGTTTATGTTGGGGACCGGGGTAAAATGCAATAAATTATTGAAAATCTATTGCATTTTCTGTTTAAACAAAAAATATTTATGGAAACTGCCCCCTACCCTAGCCCCCGCTACGTACAGTCATGGTTCAGTGACAAAGCACTGGCCTCGTAACTGTGAGGCCCCAGGATCAAAACCATGTCGATGTGCTATATTAGTGCCCTTTTTGGGGGCATTAATCCTCATTACTGTCATTTATGACTTAAGGGCGTAGGTCCCCTATTTGATAAGCATAGTAGCATACACATGCTTTAGCAATCACGCAAAACACACATTTGCAAATTATTATTCAATGAAATCTGAGAATGTATACTAATATCTAGATCTATTATTTTTTAATTATTTTTAAAATAATTCCATAAATTGGGGTAAAACAAAAATATTCCAACTATGTGAGCGACAGTGTATGTAGACTGTTTTGTAGAGTACATTCATTAATAACATGTTAATGATAGGGGATAACTCGTCACTAGGTCCCCAGGAAAGAAACATACATAAATTTGAATATGCTAGTAAACCGATCTATTAACCATGGCTCAAATGACCCTCAAATAATATACACACGGGGAAGTGTTATTATACTATTCAAGAGTGGTGGAGGTGCTTTCATGAATAGTGAGTGTCTGTTTAAGTGTGTGAGTGTTTGGGTTTTAATTTGAACGTGTATCAATCAGACATGATTATTTACGTCACCATCCGAAAGACGTGAATAGGTTTCTAACCTGGATCCGATCGCAGTCAGAATGAATTAGGTGAAGTAAATAGCTGACACGCACTGCGTGGGGGGGGGGGGGGGGGGTGGGACTAACATATTGAGACATACGGGGAGTGGGGTACCGTTAAAATGGGTCGCTTTTTCACAAATATTCCTTAACATGGGTCCGCTTTTTCAAAATTTCAAAAACTTTCGTGTGTCTGCATGGACTTGATTTGGCAATACTTCGATATTCTGGGCTAGAATCTTCAACTTTCTACCTCATTCAAGAACAAATCAACAATCACATCCATTCATGATGACAAGAACAGATGCGCCCCTTGCCTATATTAAACTGAGATTCTCGAATTATTGGGCGTTTGGCTTTGACATAGAGATTCCCCTGCTGCTAGAACATGCATGATGTTATGATTCCAAAATACCCCAAAACTATTCTTCCCTTGATCTTATCACAATAGTTTCCATAGATCGTTTCCTTAATGGCCCGAATTCACAAAGGAGGTTTGTCGACAAACCTTGGTTTTCGTACGTCATATGACGCGTTTTACGCGATTTTTACAAACCTGGTTTGTAAAGAACAAAAGGAGGTTTGGCGAAACAAAAGGAGGTTTGAGCTCAAACCTTGATCTGAGCTCAAACCTTGCTTTGTGAATTCGGGCCAATGTGTCTGACTTTCCACTATAGCTTGCTTTCCCCTCTCTTTCTTTTCTCTTACTTTTCGTCTCTTTTCCATTTGCTCGACATCGTGTGCACTAATATACACGACCATCTCTCGTTCTACGCTTCAGCTACCGAACCGTGACCTCTGCACAATGGCATGAATACCCGGTATACTAAGCACCTATAAGGATGACAATTTCCCAGTGTTACCTGAATACCCATTCTTGCTCGACGGAACATTCATTTTGTTTGTCCTTCGAGTTCCACTAATAGGGATCTCTGTGAGTGTATCTGACATACTGTGGCGAAGCTTGAAGCTCTGGCTTTAGATCAGGAGGTGTTTAGATCGTATAATGTGCGACCCGACCTCGTGAATTGTGAGTATATATTGCTTTCTTCCTTATCCGACGTACAGAAAAGATATTATTATATACCTAACCTAACACAGAGTTGCGATACGCAACACCTACGGTACGCAACTCCTAACATTCGTGTGAAACAGCACAGGCTAGTAATACGAGTGCACTTAAATTGAACGTCTTCCTGCTATGACTCGCTAGGTGCATGAATATGAATGTGCAATTAATATATTTATATTCCTTCCTTGTCGGAAACGAGTATATAAACCGAGTTCCATTCAACCGGCAAAACATATACGTGACTCGTTGGGGGCGGATGTTCATAGACGCAGGTTATTTCAAGTGGAAAACACTCCGTCCCTCGGATAGGATGTTAAATGGAGGCCCCGTGTACAGGAGAGTCACCACCCTTGCACATTAAGAACCCATTGCACTATTCGTATAAGACAAGGGGGAAACCCCGGTGTAATGGTCCACCTGCACACCCCAATCAGGCCGAGTATACGGCATCTGCAAGAATCTTCAGTATTGAAGGAGGCAGATTATCTTGAAGAAAAAGAAGAAGTTATGTTATCCATACATATAGCAGTCAGCGTAGTCAACATTACCGAGATTTTTTTTTAATGATTGATAAATAAATAATATCGAAATAACTTTTTCTTTTGTTTTTTTGTAAATTCGGTGGAGTCTCTCGGAGGCGCATATCCTCAAATAAGCAGAATGCACTACAAAATAATGAACGCCCAATGAACGCCCAACAAACGCCCACTCGTCCAATGAACTCCCAGAATGGGGGTTCGGTTTAGGGTTAGGGTTAGCGTGCGCTAAGGTGTTATTAGCTCAACCAATTCATCTGGTCAACTGTTGTGGTTGCTCCAAGAATGATTATTAGGGACCAACTCGATCATACAGTAGCCCTAGATTTCTGTCATTAAACTGAAATATTCAACGCTGAGCTGGGAGTATGACTACGAGTATGAGTGTGTAGTGCAGAGGATATAACCGACATGAACTTCACAAAGTTTATCGGGGAGGTGTTTCATAAAGCTGTTCGTAAAGTTACGCATGACTTTACGAACGACTTGCATATGAAAAGCCAAATGGGATGCTCATTCATTATTGATTATTATTTATTAAGTTAAACTGTGCAGATATAGATTAACATTCTTATTATAACAACCATTTTAATGCAAAGTATGTTTTTTGCCATAATTTAATTGAGGTTATTGGAAATATCAGGAAAAAAATGTGGGCATCCTATCTGGCACTTCATATACAAGTCGTTCGTAAAGCCATGCGTAACTTTACGAACTGTTTATGAAACACCCCCCGGGTCATATCATATGTTGTTTAGGCAACCGCGTCGAGTTGAAATGGAAGGGGTATGACCAAAGAGATACCAGCTAATAATATCCTCCTTGGTATGACAGCGTTATTTAATACTTGAACAAAAAGGGTCATTCATATAAAATCGTCGATAATTATTGATGTGTATAATCATATAACCTTATAGTTCAGTTTGTTTGTTTGTTTTTATTTCCGTATAAAATCATCACAACATACAAATACATACATAAATGAGATATACGGCGGATAGCCCATTTCAGGCGTGTTAACAAAATACGCCTGTTCTTCCATGGGGTCCGGATAAAAGAGCTGATACATAAAAATCAGATATTTTATACAATCATGGGGAAATAAGATTTATATAAATTCAATGTAAACATTACATTAAACAAAACATAAACGATATAACTGAACATGTATAATATATTTTCGGGTCTAATAAATTCAATTTACATTTATAATTCAAATTCAGTGGATTTTATAAGGGATACAGAACCGCACGAACCCTGAACAAATAAAGTAAAAGGAAAGAGAGGTAAACAGATTATTGAGCACATTTCGAAGATATTGTGAAAAAAATTGTCAGATTGGATTTGAAATTTTGAATCGTACAAGCACTACGGGTATTAGCTGGTAATTTGTTATACAATGAAGTTCCTCTGTAATAAAATGTTCTTTTACAATTATTGGTTTTCGGTCTAGGGAGACTTAGATTACCTATAGAACGGAAAAAATACCTGTCTGTTTTTATTGGTATGGGACGTTTGATATATTCAGGAAAAAGATTATTTAAACTTTTGTACATCATAATATATATATATGTTCTTCTTGGCGGACACTTAGTAATTTCCAATTTAAAACTTCATGGATATGAGAAGTGGAAATATGAGAGTATGGATTGATTTTCAATATGATTCTTCCTGCCCTGTTCTGAAGTTTTTGCAACATATCTAGATATTTTTTGGGGGCAGACTGCAAGATTATATCGGTGTAATCAAAATGGGGAAGAATAATTGAGGAATAAACAATTTTTAAATAGATTCATTTACAGAATGTCTCAGTCTACCAAGAAAACCTATCATTTTACCAATTTTAGAGCACATTTGTTCAATATGAAAATTCCACTTAAGCTCTTTATCAATAATAATTCCAAGGTATTTTACTGTTTCTACATTTTTAATATACGTATTTTGAATTCTTAAATTTAAAACATCGTGCCTTGCTAGCATTTGTTTTGTTCCAAAAGACATGCATACAGTTTTAGTACATTTTATTTTCAACTTATTTCTATTCATCCATTTACTAGCTTTGGTAAGTTCGGAATTTAAAGTTGTCTCAACAACTTTTGGATCTTTATCAGAGAAATATAAAACAGTATCATCTGCATAAAAGTGAAAAGCACATTTGTCAAATACAGAAGCTAAGTCATTAATAAATAATACAAAGAGAATTGGCCCAATCAAACTCCCCTGGGGCACCCCGTTGTTGATAGAATATTCATCCGAAAATGTATTATTTAAAAAAGTAGTGATTTTTCTTTTCAACAAATAACTTGAAAACCAGTCCAAAGATTTACCAACTATACCAAGCCGAGCTAGCTTAGATAAAAGTAGCTCGTGATTGACCATGTCAAAGGCTTTATGTAAATCGATGAATACCGCCCCGGTATAATGTCCGTTATCCATGGCTTGGAGCCAGTCGTCAGTCACTTTCAACAATGCCGTTGTGGTTGAGTGCTTAGCTCTAAATCCTGATTGCTCAGGTACTAACATTTTGTTACCTTGAATGAACTTAAGTAGCTGAATTAGGACGATTTTTTCGAGGATTTTAGAAATACAAGGAAGAAGAGAAATTGGACTATATCTAACGGCCACGCCACGCCGTCTTCTATTATGATGAAATAATAGAATCGAGCTCCGAGTGAAATCAGGTTTTTGTATTGGTCCGCTAGCTATATGACTTTCACTCGGGGGTTTAGTCTCAAATAGACCACTGTATCAGTGTATGATATTATATTATTAAAATATAAAATACAAAGAGACAAATCCAAAAATAAAGTGCTTGGACACGATTTGAATTACGATGTCACTTGGTAATTATTTAATTAATATGAATGACAAATCTCATCCATCAAATCAGAATAATAGAAATAATACAATTTATATATAAATGTTGCAATAAATATAATTGCAAAGTATTCTTAAGAGTTAAAGGGCGACTTAATTCTTACTTAATTAGTTACAGTCTAATGGGGAGGGAAGGGATAGGTTAATGGAAATGAAGTTAGTAATTATGGCCACTTAGCTCGCTGATATTTCGATCGAGGACTTGACTTGGAACGGGATGCGACTGGGACGAACTTGGACGAGACTTGGAGGAACTTGACTTGGCGGGAACAGAGCGGGACAGGAAATGACAGGAACGAAGCTGGACTTGACTTGGTGACTTGACGGGTACGGGAACGGGAACTTGACTTGGACGAAACTGGGAGTTGACTTGGACGAAACTGGAAGTTGACTTGGACGACACTGGAACTTGATTTGGACGAAACTGGAAGTTGACTTGGACACTTGATGGTTGTGTGAAAGTCCCTTAGCTTAAACGTTAAAGCTTTGTTTCAATTACTGTTGCTGCTTTCTGTTGATCATGAAATTCTCTCAACCTGACACTGTTGCTCTTTGCTAGAATATATCGTAGAAGGTCAACCAAAACTGTTGTTTCACTTCTCCAAAGTCCTTTAGCTTACTTGTAGGGCGTATAATTATTAGTAGATGAAATTAGAAGAAGTTGTGGTTCCAGGTGGGGAGAGTGGGGTCCAAGAGAGGGTTCAGCTGAGGTGGGGGTTCCAAGTGAGGATTTCATGCAGGGGATGTTTTATACCTAATTACATATTCACAATCTCGATTCTGAGATCTCCTCCTACAAAATACTCTTACACTAAACTTCACTATTTCGTTGTAATTACAGTAGGTGACTGGGCGGGTATAACACTTGATGGACACTCGAAGAGTCGTCCTGAACAATTAATACTAACATTCTGATTGGGCGAAAGTAAAAATCAGGGGAAGGAGTAGAAAAGACAAAGGCTCATTGGACAGTTGGGTATATCCCGGCTCCTACTTCCTGCAATGACTTAACTCTTTTCCAAGAAAACAAATGCTTTGTCTACCAGCCCAAACTGGTATCCGCAGAGGCAGAGGGACAATTTATATGTTTGCTTATAATCAAAGATTGTCAACATTAACTTCCTCTCTCTGTGTTTCTAATCCTGGGGTAAATAAATCTAAGTCTTAACAGGGAGGTGTTTAAAAGTTCTGGAACACTGGCTGAATAGGGGCTTTGTCTACTATAGGTCATGTAACTATTCTATGTGAACAGATTTAATCCTATCCTTTCCTTCATGTGAATGGACCTAAACTCCAATGAAATAAGGGGCATTCTATTATCTACAAACACCCTATTCTTGGAATATTTGGACAAGTGGAAATGACCAGGTTTCATCCTACTATAGTTTGTTGACCTCCAGTAGAGAGGATGATGAAATAGGAGAGAGAGAGAGAGAGAGAGAGAGAGAGAGGTATCTGGTTTAAAGGGAGATATCTCTACTTCGCTACATATAGTTATCAGGATTTGATTTGTCCCCTTTTTTATGTAGAGGGATTACCTTAGCTATCTTCCATGATGTTGGTACTTTACCATCTAAAATCGACTTATTAATTAAATATGTTATAGATTCGATCAATTCGTTTACACAAGTTTTCAAGATAAATGTGGATATACCATCAACACCAACAGATTTCTTGTGTTTTTTTTTAGTTAGCTACTTGCCTTTTAGTTCAATTCGACTCATTTTAAGGATCAAATACAGTTTTATTGAGCAATTGCTTTCGCCTCACAGGCGTAATATGTTTGTAGCAATTGTCTTATTTGACTTAATCAGTTTTATCATGTTCATAAACGATAATTTTGATACATAATTTTAATTTATAAAGAAAATCCCTTGTTGCTAGTTTTGAAGGCCTGTATGACCACAACACAACGCAGTTTACTCGGAAAATTGATATTGAATATTATAGTCGTGTACTTTGTTGTATATAGGTCTGCATGGAATTTGATTTTGTCATCATGTTTGAAAATGTGCAGAGAGAGTTTTTTTCTTCTTCTTGATTTCAGCGAACTCTAGCGTCTTGGGCACATCGTAATGCTGTTTTTTAAATAATACCGTTTATAATGCCCTACACTTTATTACCGAATCGAAGGAGCATATTCAAACGTACAACTATATGTTTCTATTGGTTCTGCTTCTTAAATACTCAATGACTTTTGACGCATAATTCTGTGTTGAAATTAGCTGGATGGAGAACGGCACAATGACTTTAATAAAGACATCCAACAAATAAAGCCTAATTATGCTCAAACTATTTTGGTGTGCTTAATTTTGCTGGAGAAGGAAAAGTTATAAGATCGGCATAAAAGAGCGCAAAATATTTAAACAGAGATAAGATGCCGTGCTCTATAGGAGTTGGTAGTGATATTGGTGTTGGTGGTGTCGATGTTGGTGTTAGTAGTGTGTGTTGTGTGGTTAGGGGGGGGGGGGGGGTGGGGGTCGTAAGCCCGATCGTAACCAAACAAGGAAGAATAAATAACCGCTTTGAAAAACCCAATCTAGTCGTCGCGAGGCGAGCTACCCATTCACCACACGTGTCTCAGTCTGGACGCATTGTATATTACCTACAAAAGAGGAGAATAGATCTGGTCTGAATGTATAAATAATAAAGAAGTTTTGCAAACAACGTGAGTGTAAACACAGTGCCGACAGTGCGAAATTTTCGGGACATCTTCGTAAGACGTTAGTTAGCATGCATCAGATCATGTAGCCTAAATATGGTTTATGATCTATATCCAAGATCAAACGAGAAGAAAGTAACCATGCAAGGGATAGAACTTGCGATTACTAAGGAGAATCATTGTAATAATATACAATCGTATTGATATTGACTATTGAGTACATTTCGCGTAGTCATTTTAGACCTTTAACGTTCTCTAAATATGAATGCGCTTCGTGATTCATCTTAAAACTTTGCTTCGTCATGGTCACGTGATGCATGAAATATCAATAGTACTTTCAGTGTCTGATCTGAGTACAAAAAAATATAGTATAATTCACTGTTCATTGATGATTTTAAAAATAATTATCAATTTTCTAGGTGTAAACTTTTTGTTGACTCACACTGTATAACCTATGTGGCATACCGTAAGTACACTAACTTGTGCCTCAACTTACGTTATCAATAAGTGTGCTCTTATACATGAGATAAACCTGTTACAAGCGCAATGACTCAGTGGTAATCCAGTGGTACCGTCGCTGGGAGGTCCATGGACTCGAAACCAAGTCGATCCATGCGCTAGTGCTCTTTGGTTTAATAGGTAATTACCCTCATTACAAGTCCCTCGGAGAGTACCTAAAGTCGGTGGTACATTACATGGTTACCTAACTTACAAGCATACAATGCTTTATTAGCAGTTAGGCCAAACAAACAAAACAAAACAAAAATGCTAGCCGGGTATTGTTTAAGCATATTATTAGCACGTAGAAAACATCCTGACCCTATTCCATTTATTCTTTTTCAGAGACGTTGATATTTTAAAGGGAACATGATATTTTATGCCCACTGCGTATTCCTGCCAAGCGTTAACAGCAGACAGTTTGTAATCTACAGCAATTTTGTGTGCATACTGTTGTGAGGTAACATATTCATTAACCTTATTAACGAGGGTATACAATTATGTTTCCCTACGTGACCTTACATAGCCCCACCTATTTTATGATGCGTTTTATAAAGGTGTACAATGTTACGCAACATAATTATAACCCACGTATAACATTCAAGCGGTTGCAGTATGCAGTGAGCAGTATATTATGATTATAGCAATCATATTATTTCCAATTAAAAAAATGACGATTTACTGACAACTACCCTGTGAGGAAACAGTTTACCAAAACGATGTCTTTCTCTACAAACAGTGGAGTATAATATTGTTTGTCAAACCGCGGTCGTTTGAGCATCGCTATAAACGTGTAAGTTGAACTTCTTGATAAAGTCCAAATAATTATTATGTTTAAAAGTTGGATAAAAACTGCAATGTGTCAAATCAAGTTTTATTCGGAATCTACTATGTATTTTTTTTTAATTTGTCATACTTTTAATTGACCAACGAGTTTTCTTCCTTTTCTTTGTGTCTAGCCGCCCTTACCTGAAGACCTTCCGGACGTTGCCATGGATTCTGCTGCATGGAATTGGTTCTGTGGGAGTAACGCCTCAACGTCGAATCAAGAATGTGTTGTAGACGCCATCATCTCAGTCCCACCCGTAACGTTTTCTGTGTTGGCCATCCTCACCATTATCATCACCCGATGTTGTTGCGTCAGAGGAAAAGCCACCCCGTACCTCCTCCGATATCCCGGGCATTCCATAAGATGGATAATGAGCCTAGCGTTTATCGCCGTGTCTCTCGCTGCAATCGGCGAAGGCATACTCAGCGAGGAATCTTTCCGAAAGGGGGGCGACCATCCCCACCCTTATCTGTACCTCAATGGTGCCTTCCTTCTACTCTCTGGAATCATATCCCTTTCATATTACCATTTCTTGGAGAAGAGACGGACAGAACACTTGTCGTGGTTACTTCTATTGTTCTGGTCGGTATCCATAGTAACCATGTCATATCGCCTGCATCATTTTCTCAACGACGATCTAATTGGCGATAGCGGAACGTACAAACTCGACATCTTTCGATATGATGTTACTATAGTGTTCTTGGTGATATACTGCATTTTATTCATTGTGGAATTCAACTTTGTTGTCGTAAGTATACTTTGATGACGACATTCAAGTCGTTTATTTTATTTGCATCTATTCTACAGAAAGGCACGAAGGGAAAACAATGACCTCAATCAATATAATTCAGCTTCTACATGTATTTATCGCATAACAATTTAAAACAAGTATCTCTGTTTCCTTAACAAAACTATTTCTGTTTGAAACGAAATTTACAAAAGAAGGTCGTCTGGGTATTTTTTATACGAGAATTTCCATTTGAACATCTGATGTACCTTTACTTAGCTGTCGCTGTCCACTAAAAATATGCTCTGGTTGAAGAAACGTGTTTCTACTACAGACATTCCCTAGCCCCACGTTTCATCAACGAAAATCGCAAAGGGACCCAAAAAGAAAATGAACAGTCAATATGCCTCTCGTGCCCCGACAGAAAAGGGATAATCCACATTCCCCCATCCCTCATTGAAAAAAGACTTCTGGCTATGCTATTCCAATGCGGAGTGTTTGCAAATGATATATTATTTGTGTAGGTTTTACATCAAGCTGTAAAAAAACCTGGCGCACACGAAACGATGTGACTACGATCTGATTTTGGAAATATTTGTGAAAGCATTTTATATGAACATTCAAACATGTAACTTGTTTTAATGACCCAGGATCTGAATAGTCATATGATTAATAACAATCTAAATTTCTAGGGATTTCATGCTTTTTTGGAGGGGGAAACCAAATCGGCTCATATTCGTACTGACGTCAGACCAGAATTATGTACAATTTGAAGCCGATTCGGATTTAATGTCGACTAGGTAAATGCATTAAATTTACGGTTGTTAATATTCTTTTCTTTATTAAGAACCTAAATCATGGCGGAAATGGTTATTTAGATTCCATATCTAATATAACCACCCTTTCATACGAAAATCTGATCGCAGGAGGGTCGCCTATTGTACGCCGGGCTTTAGCCAACAATGTTACATTATATTAATTATTATACAGTAGGCTTGCGGGTGCACCATGTGAGAGAGAGAGGGATGATTGAGGAGTCCTGAAAAGGACTCTCGGTAATCTTTCTTGAGGGTGTGTAGTCCTGAAAAGGACTGTTGGTGTAGTCTTGAAAAAGACTGTTGGTTATCTTTCTTAGCTTATAGTTGTAAGGAAAACTATGGCGCTTGGAGAGGATGGGTGGCGGGAGTGGCTCGACGTTTTGAACAGGTTGACTATCCGTTGTCAGGAGTGGAGAAATTATTAATATTAATTGTTGTTAACGTTATCAAAATATTTAACAATCAAGCTATTGCCCATTGCAAACGATGCGTCATTACTCAGCCATATGGGCAATTAGAGCATGCATCGTTAATCAATGCAGTGTTTGCGCTGTTCATGTCGCATTTACTTCGTGCACCATGTCACTCGACGTCAAAGACCGCTGACGCAGTCATTGACGTAACCCTCCGTCAGCAAATGGCGCCTCGTGTGCAGCGGGCATTACGTAATAACTGTCGTAATAACTCGATCTGTAAAAAGGATACACTTGCAACGTATGATTTCATCTATATTATATTCACTCAGAAAACGATATGTTGTTTCGAGTCATCCATTGACGCACTCCCTGCTGACTTGAGACAGCAGAAGATGAAGTATTTGTCCAAGCATTCGTCCTTTCTCTCTGAAGTGACGTTCTGGTGGGAGAATTGGCTTTTCAAGGCTGGTTACAAGAAGATCATCGAGGTCGAAGATCTCGGTAGCATTCCCGAGATTCACACGTCGACATACAACCATGAGAGGTTCAGGAAAGTCTTCGACAGAGAAAAGGTAAAGTTATTGGTTTTGAACCATTCTTGTTTCTCATTAAGTTAACACCCTTCTGGCTCAACGCAGACAATGTCATGTCTACGCATATGTTGTAACACCAATGGGAAACAGTATGTAATAATATTGTGCACAATAAAACTTGAATCTTGAATCTTCTGCACCAAATTGAAAAGTGAATATACATACAACATGAACAGCTTAGATAACTGTACGAAAGCGAAAAGGTAGAGATTGATCCTCCTTCAGAATGTTTAATGATATAAAAGTGGAAAACAATAACTTCACGTATTCATCGCAGTTGTATTTATACGTAAAATGTTTCGGCCGGCATCATACAGTACTGGGATAGCAAATTTTGTTTCAATATGATATTTCACTTATATTTTTAAATCCTACATTGTATATAAAACGTCTACGAAATTGATAAGTAAGTTTAATAGTAGAATATCATTGGTCTATAGAGTTTGTTTACCAGTAGACATTCACAAAGTAAAGTTATCACGAACGTTTATTTTCAGCTTCACGTTGAGTAGTAACCTATCATTAAAGAGAACATGGGGAAAATTTATTTGTGTTTGAGAGTCAACTACCGTAATAAATTATCACCGCCAACTTATAATGTCAATCTCACAACTATGAAAATTATCATGTGCATTTGATATTTCTAGTCATATATTTATGTTTATTTGTTAATTATCCTGTGTCCTAAAACAAAATCACGTATTCAGGAGAAATGCCGTCAGTCAGGTAAACAGCTCAACATCTTCAAGGTGATGTGTATTACATACGGCCCGACGATTGCTTTCGCTGGTCTCCTCAAGATCATTGGAGATCTATTGTCATTCATTGGACCTCTGTCCATCAGCGGAATTGTGAATTTTGTCACCAATACGTACTATTTACCTGAAGATGCTCAGCGTGAGGTAACTATATCCCAATCTGCTAAAAAGAGGAATATTTTAGAATGGGAGAACTGTTATGAGGCCTAAAAAAAAAATGTTGTATTGCCCTTTAGGTGCCAAAACATGGGTCGGTCGGTCGGAAATCTTTTTATTTTTTTAGTTTTTTTTCTTTCTCCCTCTTTTGGCTGATATTTTGAATGCTTTAATATTTGTTTTATTCATTAAACATTTTTTTCTAAAAAACGGTTAAAAATAAATAATAAAAAAGTAACGCCTGATTATGATACTAACGTAATGAGTGTTGATTTAGATACTAATGTAGCAAATTAAACACATATGTTTCTTTTTAAAGACCATATCCGAACTGAAAAATGAAATGGATGAATTATATATCAACGGAAAGCTTATAAGCCATAAATGACAATAATATCAAGTATATGCCAATTTAGTGTCTGTCAGAGGAGTATCATACAGCTCTCTGAAAAATCTAAATCTAAAGCTTTGAAAATGAGAGTTGTCGACCTAAAAACTTGCTATCGACTTGATGACATCATTTGTGTGGAGTACGTATATTCACAATGACTTTGCATTAATTAAGCACGGTTCATCGCCTCAGCTATACAGAGTGAGTCAAAAAAAAGTTTACACCTAGAAAATTGCTAATTATTTAAAAAAAATCATCGATGAACATTAAACTGTTATATGTCTTATGAACGAGTGTTTTATTCCAAATCATTTGGTAGCATTTTTGTGTGGTATGTGTTCACGCTTGGATGAACAGGAGACATTGTTTGCGAGAGTGCAAATATCAAATTGCGCCAAAGTTGCCTGTGTGATGTTTGCATAAAACAATTGGGATTTGGGTATTAATTCGGTCTTTGCAGATCCAAATAACACCTCTAAAATTAATCATGCCACACATATCAAATATCGAATATCAAATATCAACGAACATTTGTGCGCGTGTGTGTGGGTGTGTGTGACTTGGCCCTTTGCAAAAAAACATATGCAATGCATTTCATTTGATAAATTCAATCGATTCTCTCACTCCGCTAATCCCAACATAATACATACTGAAGGCATCACTTTGGCGCAAGTCGATTTTTGCACTCTCGCAAACAATGCCACCTGTTCATCCGAGCGTGAACACATACCACACAAAAATGGTACCAAATGATTGGGGATTAAACACTCTTTCATAAGATGTATAATAATTTTCTGTTCATAGATGATTTTACAAATAATTAGCAAATTTCTAGGTGTAAACTTTTTTTTGACTCACACGGTATAGACTAACCGATTGTGTCCACATGTTTATATGTCGTCACTGTAACTTCGGCAAATTTGACGCATTTTGACCCGTAATTTGAAGGGGTGCGGAAAATAACCTCTTAATTTGCTTTTGTACAGTAATGAAAGGGTAAATACTTTGTAATCCTTTATATTTGTATTCTACATTCATTCAGTTTTCCATTTATATCAAGTTGAATTTTCATCGGATACGATTTTCTATAAGAAATTTAAGATGGCTCTTCACAGTTCAATTTTTTTTTTCATTGTAAGAGAAATGGTGCATTTTGGGGAGCAATCTGTTAAGTTCTTACATTCAAACGTTATCGGTCGCTATCATTATCCATCAAGCTATTTTCCCCCTCTTTACCTAAATAGTATTTAGGAACATAATTGCATAGGTATATGCGCATTTAAAAAAAGATAACAGGACACGTACTTGTGATGGAAATGTTTCAAAGGATTCCGACATACTATCATTGTTATGACTTAATTTCAGATTGTTACTCCCCATTTGGTGACGCCTTCAGAGTTCTTTGCTAACGGTTACATTCTGGTAGCAGCCGTGTTGGTGTCGTCACTGATACGTCACACCTGCGATCAGTTCTACCAATACATTGTCTCAGTAGAAGGTCTACATGTTCGTTCGGCGATCCAGGTATAAGTTTAGTTTGGTTTTTTTAATTGAGGGGCGTTTGGGGCAGCGGGAGGGTCACTTCTGGGAGATGATTTTCAGACCAGATTTATATGCCGAAAATTGCCTAAAAGATATAAAGAGGGTCCTGGGAATGTTAAGATTTTGACGATGACTTTAGAAATTTGTTATCCATAACGAAAATGAGGCGGGTGTGCAGGGAGGGGGGGGGGGGTGAGCAAATCGATAACAAAGTTGTGAATATGCCCCCTCCACAAAAAAGGGTAAGTTGAATTTAACCTAAGTTTACCTGAACCTCCCCTACATCGGCCACATCCAGTTAGAAATATTATTGACGATTTATTCGGATTAATGATATGATATTCACACTATGATTTACTCATTGAGCATAAAAGAATAGTGCATATACTGCGGCTCAAACGACTTAATCGAAATATTAGTTAAATTACTGCCACCCTTGATAATTGTATGATAGGTTTAAATTAATTTTGTTATGAATAATAGTTTTAGATGCCATAACAAATTTGAGATTATATATCTCGTGTAGTTTGATAGATACACACAAAGTGGATTTAATTAGGTCGGGCAAGTGACATCTCCATGATATACCTCGATCTCTAATTTTCTAACTTTTTGTTCCACCATGATCACCATCCATGGTCTCCCGCGTTCATTTTAACCTCGTCAGACGATGGTGTATTGGAAATCGATGAGGATGTCAACGTATGCGATGTCGGGTGGGATGATGACCATGGGTCAGATCACCAACCACATGTCCGTCGATGCCAACAATATCATGATGTTCTTCCAGTTATCAAACGAGATTTGGGCGGTACCTTTGAAGGTAGGATAACACATTTGCAAAACTCGCCTACTTTGATTCCGTCTCTTTCATTTCATTTGATTTGACTTAATGACGTACTGAAACCATTAGAGTTATGCTCGTTGCACACACGGCATAATTTTGATTATGTTGTTAGCTAAACTACACTATTCAAGTCTGTGAAGGAAAATACATGGAGTATATTTTCCAGAAATTCAACGCAACTGTGCACCGTTAAGTTCGTAGCATATTTGTTTTCTTTTGTATGATGTCTACGTCTTATGGTGCGTCAAAAACCGCACCAGAGTGACGCAGACGCGGTCCTGCGTCAGGTAAATCATGACGCCTCGGATGAAACGGATATAACGCTTTTTTTTCTCTCCACAAAATGACAGGGAGGCAGTTAATCACTTCCCTATCTTTCTTTGTCAGTGGTGTTACTGAGTCCTGGGCATTACCATAGTTACCCGGTAGGATGCGACCGTCATTGTTGGTTAAACAGTTTTTGAGCGTCAAGTAACGCCTGGCTGGAATGTTCCCCAGGGAGTGGAGTTTGTGCACACAGTTTGTGCGGGCAAGCACTGAATCCAATGACGGTGGTAATAGTATAGCTGTAAAGCGCTTAGAGACGCCCGAGATGTATTAAGCGCTATATAAAAGCTGCATAGTATTATTATTATCATTTAGATCTTTTTTGCGATAACAACAATTTCTTGGAAATAGTGCTTTTATTTTGTTGATTGAGTGAAGTAGATATTTTCAGTATGTCTTTCTTTTTACTCAATTCCCTTTTCAGATTATCATCACTCTGGTTCTTCTTTATCGTCAGATGGGCTACCCTGCTCTCATCGCATCAAGTCTCTTCTTTCTCTCGATTCCAATCCAGATAAAGATTGGTGTCACAGTTGCTGGAATCATTAAGAAAGTTCTGGTATGGGATAATAAAATGCTTTCTCATCTCGTTGTTCGATAATAATGCAATGATGATTAAGATGAAGAGGGTCATTACAATTATGAGTATCATTTATCCCGAGTAGCCTAATTAGTAATAATATCTTTCTGTAATCTGATTCTTCTCTTTCCTTCATTGAAAGATTTCCCCAATCATGTTTTTAACAAAAGAAACTCAATAAGTTCGTTCTAATGAATATCGGTTAAAACATAGTTACATAACTATATGTCCATTTATATAGTAATTCAATATACTTTTAAGCCACTTCAGAGATACTATCTGCGCATAGGCAGATAAAAGTCATTCGTACAAAACTATTAAAAAAATTATTCATTTATGCACTGGCGGTACATTTTATGATACACAGGTGGAAGATTTTTTTAAAGAGAGCAAACATAGTATTCGTGAACCACCTCCATCTCTTTGGCAGTGATCATTCTAAAATGCACAAAGTGGGACGTCTTCATGTGTAAACGGATTTTAGGACACCTATCCCCTGGACATCCACCCCCGGAATAACCATCCCCAGTCAACTACCCCCTATAGGGCAACCGCCCTCTAGGACGACTACCCCAGGGACAACTACCCCCAGACAACTACTCGCCAGACACTAGGACAACTACCCCCGGACAACTATCCTAGAGGGTAGTTGTCCGGGGGTAGTTGTCCCGGGGAGTAATCGTCCTAGAGGGTGGTTGCCCTAGGGGGTAGTTGTCCTAGGGGGTAGTTGTCCTAGGGGGTAGTGACTGGGGATGGTTATCAGGTGGTGGATGTCCAGGGGGTAGGTGTCCGGATACAGTGTAAAAGATGGATAAGTGCTATCTCTTAAGTGACTTATTGCGGTTAATAAATATTCAGAACCCACTCAACTGCAAGGAAAGGTTTCAGCGTAATCTTAAAAGAAAATCAATATAGATTTCACTTGTGCATCTCGCATATCCTCTTTTTTTTGCATATAAAATGAACAACTTAAAGCACGATTTCGAACCATCTGGGAAACTTACCAGAATAACAGAATAGAAAGTAATTTTAGTCAAAGGTATCATCACTTGTGTGTTTATTCTTTCTCTGTCATTAGCAATGTGCTGACAAAAGAATGAAACTATCAAACGAGCTGCTACAGGGTATTAAGCTTCTGAAAATCTACGGTTGGGAGAAGTTATTTTATGGTCTCATCAAACAAGCAAGAGAGAAAGAGCTCGCACAGATCTTCAAGATGTACATCGTTATTTCAGTCAATTGTAAGTTTTCTCACATTAACTGTTTTACATCATTCTAATCTTAGAAACGACTTACATGAAGGTGATTTCCATCCAAATAATATACTAATAATAATAGTTCGTTCTTTTATAGCGCATTTCAGGACCGAAGGCCCTCTCAAAGCGCTTTACAATGTACAATGTACGTTTACATAATAATTACTCGAAGCATTCATAAAAAGGGTGAGTTTTCAGCGCTCTCTTAAAAACGTCAACATCAGTCATGGAGCGTAGCGACACTGGGAGAGCGTTCCAAAGTTTTGGTCCACCACATGCAAATGCCCTGTCACCATAGGTTTTTGTGGCTCCATGATTGAGGGTGAGAAGGTGTTGAGAAGATGACCGCAAACGCCTTGGTGGGATGTACGGTGTGAGCAAAACTGAGATGTACTCTGGACACATGCCATGGAGAGCTTTGAAAACGATTAGAATCACCTTGTAGCGGATCCGTAGCTGAATGGGCAACCAGTGTAGATCTCTCAAGATATTAGATTTGATCGTGTCTTAATGTTATAATAAACCATTGTTTTAATGTTATAATTGTTGTCAACTTTTTTTCCTCCCGATACGGTATTCATTTATAAAAGGGATTTAGTGTCAATAACAAACGATTTTCGAGTAGAAAAATATAGATAATTTTGATGTGTACAGTATTTTGATGCTTTTATTATTTTAAACAAAGTTGATTCTCAAAATGCATTTTTTTTTTTGTTCTCCAGTTGTTATCAACTCCGGGGTCCCCGTTATCGTCGCGCTGGTGGTGAGTCAAATGTTGTCTACTCGCTTATCAAATGACATGTTACCATTATTAGCATAGCATTCGATCAAGCTGTCATCTCTTGTAGTTTCCACCCTGGGGCTAATTCAATGCTTCTACATAGTTTGATACGAGTTCCATTTCTGTAGCTATATACTCAAGAGGACATAGATCACCTTTTACTTTGATTCTCTTTATTTCTTTGTATTTGACGACAACATTATACGCCAGCCACCAAGACTCCTCACCGATCGAGAGCCGACGAATTGTTATCCTTTGGGGGGTAATACTTTGTTCGGTCTGTTATTCTTTTGTTTTCTGTCTGTCCAGTGTGACTATGGCTAGTGGATTAATAAGGATCCTGTCTAATTATCTTCAGATGCGTACTGTGTGTCGATGTGTACCTACTATTCTTTTAATGATGAATATACCCTTTTACCGCATGACACGAACATTTGGTTCTCTTCTGGACCTCTGGCAGTTGATTCCCTTGAGATGAGAATGGATAAGCACTGGTGGTCTGAACGATTTGATTTAATTTAATATAATCAAACCGTCTCTATGCAAATTACATTAAAGCCCATCTGCACTAGGTGAGCCAGGGGGGGGGGGATAAGACATCCCTGCATGGTCACTGACAGGTGGTTATCTCATCAAATCAGCTCTCAATTAACATAAGAACCGTGGGGACCAACGGTCACCGCTTAGGCATTGTTTGCTATTATAGAGGGCGCAAGTAGCTATAAGTAGTGCAGTGGGGCTTTAAGACATTGATTCCCCCAAAAGCTATTATGATCAATCTCTCCTCGCATCAAGATGATGATGATGATGATGATGATGATGCTACATGTCAACTGCTAATGTGGCTTATGTCAGATTTGTATCTACCTAATCCCTTTCTTCTTCCAGGCCTTCGGAACGTACACCAGCATCACTGGGAAACCATTGACCCCCGACATCGCCTTCACAACCCTCTCACTATTCAACCAGATCGTTGCTCCCCTCTTCATTCTCCCGTTCGTCATCAATCTCTTCGTCAACTGCCTCGTCAGCTGCGGACGTCTCAAGACCTACTTCCTCGCTCCGGAGATCGAGGGCGACGGCGATGACGATGGAAAAGATTTTGAGACCACAATTCCGAACGGGAAGGGTACGGCGTCAAATGGATATAGTGTCGGCTACCAAAATGTAAGTTCACTTGTGCGTGACGGGTTTATGGGAAACAGAATGAAAAACAATATGGCATTTGTGTTGTTGTCGTGAGTATAATTTCAAATTCTTAAGGTGTATTCTTTGGCAATTGGCGCAATTGACATAATTATGCTTTAGTCCGAAGATACTGATCAGGTAAATGATAATATATTATTCACCCTAGAGTATTGATGTAAAATCGAAATCCAAGTAACAAACTTCCGCTGCTCTAAACTCGCAAATATATTCAATTTCTCTGCTCTCGTATTAATGATGTTGAAACTCAGAGAGTAATAGTATTTCAACCACTTTTATAAGACGAGAATGCAAGTATAAATTAATTAACTGAATCCTTGTCGATGTCTTACTCCCAGGGCTTAGAGGTGGAGGTTCGACATCCGAAGAAGGAGAAGAAGACTTTTTGGGTCCACGAGGATGAGCTCCCAGACTCTGACCGGGCACCGCTCATAGCCAGCACCACATCCTATGGATCTGTGGACTCCAGAGGCAGCATGATTACTTCAGTCTGTGAAGAACTTCCTAATGACGTAGCTATCAGGGTAACATATTCGAACGTCTCACTATATTTGTAGGGATGTATCCATGGTTTTGTAAAGAAGAGGGGGGGGGGGGAGGGCGCGGAAGACTTCTGACAAAACATAATTGTAGTGAAATTTCGGGTGCCTTTTTATGCCTCCGTTACGAAGTAGCCGGAGGCATTATGTTTTCGGGTTGTCCGTCCGTACGTCTGTACGTACGTACGTCTCGTTCTCGTGATCGCGTTATCTGAAGAACCGATTGATGGATTCCTGCCAAACTTTGGTCATGTATGTATCTTGCAGAGCCGATGAACTGATTAGATTTTGGGGTCACAAGGTCAAAGGTCAAAGGTCACAGGGCTCATTATGTATGCAAAAACAGCTCGTGATCGCGTTATCTCAAGAACCGATTGATGGATTCCTGCCAAACTTAGGTCATGTATGTTACTTGCAGAGCCGATGAACTGATTAGATTTTGGGGTCACGAGGTCGAAGGTCAAAGGTCACAGGGCACATTATGTATGCAAAAAATAGCTTGTGATCGTACAATCATTAGAACAGATTGATGAATTCCTGCCAAACTTCATTTATGTATCTTGCAGAGCCAATAAACTGAGTAGATTCTTGGTTCATAAGGTCAAAGGTCAAAGGTCATTGGCTCATTATGTATGCAAAAATAGCTTGTGAAAGCATTCTCATTAGAACTGACAGATGGATTACTATTTAACTCAGGACATCTTGCAGAGCCAATGAACTGAGTAGATTTTAGGGTCATGAGGTCAAAGATCAAAGGGTCATATATGTATATGAGAAATTGCTTGTAATCACGATATTCTGAGAACCTGTTAATGGATTACAATTGAACTGGAATTTTAAAAATTTCTTCTGTTTTGGTTTCTAAAATTGCTCTATGACGGAGGCATCATTTTCGACTGCGCGCAGTCGAAGTTCCATCTAGTTTGGTTTATTGTTTGAAAAGGCAGCTCGAAACCACAATTATTGGCATAGCTTTCTTTAGTGAATTCAAAGTGTGCGCGATTGGGTTTTAAAAGAAGGGGGGGTCAGGGATAGTGCCCTCTTAATCCGTCACTGTTAAATGCTTCTTGTTCCCCCAGTGAGTATGCCTCGATCTGTCACTTCGTGCATTTTATTGGGAAAGAGTATTCCTGCTCAATAGTTTGAATCAAAAGCAATTATTATTTTTACATTTGTTATATTGGTAAAATAATTTGATTTGAATCATTAGATCACCATGACGATAATTAGGTTATCGAGGATGTCGTTATTTTCTTTAATGCAGGTAACGGATGGTAATTTTACATGGGACCCCATCGCCTCCACCCCTATCCTGCACGATATAAACGTCGATATTCCGATTGGTAATTTGATTCTTATATCTCAGTATTTGTATTGATGAATGATTTGCATGCTGCTCGCGATTCCTTGCTTGTCATTCTTATATTCATTTCTTGAACCCCCGTTACTCTATTCCCGGTGGTGATCTTTTATAAGGCGTATTCATCAGTTGCTCAAGTTTCCTCGTTTCTTAGATATTCGTGTTCTTTATCATTACCATCCCTCAGCCCCAAAGTGTCCACACTGTTTACTTCCTTTTCCTTGTAACTCTACCAGCAGAACTCTTGTTTTCCCTTTCTCACTTTCTTCTGTTGGTCATACCTCAAATCTTCTTTTCTAAAATGTGTACCTTTAAAGTCATTCCCGTGGTTATATATCTACATTTTATTTTTAATGAATAGATTTAATATTTGGCTGTCATGTGTTTTTTGTGAGTTTGTTTTCATTTCATCAACAATATCCATCATGACAGGTAAGCTTACAGTGATAGTCGGAACTGTTGGAAGCGGGAAATCATCTCTCCTGCAGGCGATAATGGGAGAAATGACCACACTTTCCGGAAACGTACAACTCAATAGGTAATATAGTTCATGGAATTCTGGATTATGAGATGGGGAAAGAGGGGTGGTAGGGGTCCCAAAATTGCTCGGAGAGGGGGGGGGGGGGGGGGGGGGGTCAAGAGTCAATAAAATTCTAAGATAAGGAAAACATGGTTTCAGAAGGCCATGATTGGCCCGGGATTGGCCCATCTAGAAACACAAACCATTGTTACCAAATGTTAATTACGGCAACAAGGTTGTTGAAAGGGAAAAAGTAAAATGACTACATGGCAGTTATATAAAAACACTACAGACGCAAGCTGCAATCAGATACCATGATACAAATTATTTTGTCCCAACAGAACACACAACGATATTGCCTTCGCCGCTCAGAAAGCATGGCTGGTGAACTCGTCATTGAAGGACAACGTCTTGTTCGGAGAAAAGCTCAGGGATTCCAAGTGAGTTTACCAAAACTAAAAATCCGAATACAATTTTGTATAATTTTGTTCCTTTTTTATTTTGTTGTCGTTTTTAAAACAATTTATCCTCTCGGTTATTGACGTAATCTTCTAATAGCCCGCAGATTACCTATGGATATTCGTCTGAAATACTGATAGGTCTTAACTATTAGATATCTGCGTCTCTCTGTCATTTCTCTCACCTTTCTCTCTGTACTCTCTTTGAATAATCATAATAAGTTTCCATCTCCTGTGAGATAAAACATCAAAAATCATAAAAGGAAGAAATAAAGAGAGCATAGGTTAATTACATGCATTTTTTCCTAATTCCTAGAGAATATTGTGTCATCTCCTTGATCATTGAGATACAAAATAATATTATGTAGGTCTTGTTTTGCGGTAGGTCTGTTTGTGTTAACATGCCAGGTCAAAGTTTTTTTCGCGGAGGCAGAGAGAATATATTTTGAAAAATAATCATCCTAAAATCTTTTAAAGAAAAAAAATATTGATGAATTGTTCCCTTCACTGAATTTCCCATCCGACCTCAGATATCGTAAAGTGATTGGAGCATGCGCCCTGAACCCCGATATTGACATGTTACCAGCTGGCGACCAGACGGAGATCGGTGAGAAGGGTATCAACTTGAGCGGTGGGCAGAAACAGCGAGTCAGTGTGGCAAGAGCGCTATACTCTGGTCGAAACATTGTCATTCTGGTAATTGTTATGAATCGTATTAAAGCCCCTCTAAAATGTTGGGAGCCCCAAAATTTGCCAAAATCTTGATGGCAAAATTGCACTTAAATTGTATCATAATGTGAAAGAGGACGTCATTTAATACTTCTGCAAAGATTCCCCCCCCCCCCCAAAAAAAAAAAAATGTGTTTGAAGAAAAATATTGATAAAAGAATACATCATTTGGGTTTTCTGTTGTAAGCAGAAAACCTAAATTTGTTATTCTTTCATCAATATTCGACCTCAAATACATATTTTCTTTGAAAATTCTCGCTGAAATGTGTCTTAAATGACATGCTCTTTCACATTATGATACAATTTAAGTAAAATTTTGCCATCACATTGTTATGGCTCCCAACACTTTATAGGGGCTTTCGTGTCCGGGATTCGTATCTAAATTGAATCTAAATTAAAAGTAATATTTAATGCTTCAGATTCAGATATCAATGGAAATGATGAACGTTATTATCATTATTATACTTAAGTTATCTGTGAAAGGGAAAAACATTGACCGGTTAAAGTTTAGGATCGAGTGGTACATCTCTTATGACTTTAATCCAATTTAGCCAGATTATTATTGTATTTTAAACAGCAAGTAAAGATTATTACGTATCGTTGTGTTAAGAAAAGAAACATTTCTCCACATTATAGCTAGTTTTGTTTTACTCGTCGATAGGATTCTACATAGACAGAGATAATTTTTTTAAACCTATGTCACTGAAGATCTAGATACTGTTTTCATTTCCTGCCTGATACATGATTGGGAGCCAGTCATAAAACAAATCGATTTTTAAGATTGATTGATTGTTGTGTTTCTCAGGACGACCCACTCTCTGCCCTGGATGTTCATGTAGGAGCGCATCTCTTTGAGCATGGCATCTCTAAGATCCTAAGGAAACATAACCAGACTGTGATTTTAGTAACTCATCAGCTCCAGTATCTACCAGAGGCAGATCAGGTTGGTATAGAAATATGTACTGACGTCTTGGTCATGAGAGGCTCTATTAAAAATAATATACCGCGCGCGTATGAAGTTTCTAGGCTTCTGATTGGTCAAAACAGCCGTCATGAAATTCGCTATTGACTTCTGGGCAATATTGCGAAAACTTATTGACCGGGCATAGTTCTATACTTATACGATATCGTAGTAAGACACGCGCAATGCTCTTAGACCGGTAAGTTCCCATGACTCTTAACAAATATATACACTTTGACAGGCATATTTTATCAAAATATCTTCTTATTTTTTTTTTTTTTTTTTTTAAAATTTGTTATAATTTATTTATTTATTTATTTATTTATTTATTTATTATTATTATTATATATATATTTTTTTTTTTGGGGGGGGGTGCGAAATATAATATACAAATATTGACTGCTCATGAGGATGATGGTGGGAATTATCACTCCCAAGGTGGTGTTCATACCGGCTCTTCCATCACCCCCAGGCGCATCTCTTTATGTGGCTATTTACATCACCTACTGCTACTGCTAAGCTTTTTAAAGTTATTTTATATAATTTAAAATTGCCTATGTATGTTAGTTCACGTAATGATATGTTTCAACATGTTTCTTTTATAATAAACAGGTTTTTGAAAAAATCTTTCCAATACGCTTGTAATCACGATATTCTGAGAACCTGTTAATGGATTACAATTGACCTTGAATTCTGTTTTGGTTTGTAAAATTGCTCTATGACGGAGGCATCATTTTCGACTGCGCGCAGTCGAAGTTCCATCTAGTTAGAAGATGATTTGAAATGCCCAAACATGCTCATGTACATGTATGATAATTAGAACGATGAGAGAGTTTTATATTGCACTACTTATCGGGTATGGGTGATGAGGCAAACGTGAGGGTTCTCTACATCATGTAAACTCACTATGACATGTCTCCCATGACAGATCATAGTCATGAAGGACGGTCGGATCGTAACCATCGGCTCACCAGAAGATGTGGCCATCACCGATCCCTCCCTGTGTTCGGAGTGGCAAAAAGCTGTAACCATCTTCAGCGAGTCAGAGGCTGAGTCTGGGGCCGAGTCAGAAGGATTATTGGACGAGAGGAAGGCACTCAGACGTCAGGTAGCCCGTTCGATATCGGGAGGCCATGCGGATAAGTGTAAGATAAATTAGTTTTATTATTATCATTATCATCATCATCATCATCATCATCATCATCATCATCATCATCATCATCATCATCATCATCATCATCATCATCATCATCTCATCATCATCATCATCATCATCATCATCATCAATCATCATCATCATCATCATCATCATCATCATCATCATCATCATCATCGATCATCATCATCATCGATCATCATCAGCATCATCATCATCATCATCATCATCATCAACAACATCATCATCATCATCATCAATTTTTTTTTTTTTTTTTTTTTTTTTTTTGGGGGGGGGGTTGTTTATCATGCTGAAATTTTGCGTTGTAGAGGCACAATAGAAACATGATAATCGTAAGATTGGTGCAGTATATTATGATAACACAATGATGACCGTCCGTGTTACATGGAGATGAATATAACCAAACTGTCCAAAGTATATAGTGTGATTACTTGTTGAACGAAGAATTCAATGGTAATGCGTTACTTAAAGGGGATCTATCATGTAATATATAATTTTCATATTGTTAGAAAACATAAAACCACAAAACAATTCGTTCGAAGAATATCAAGGTGTACATTGTCTAAATAGGAAAATCCTTGTTTAGCCAACTGATTGTCTCATCAGTGAGCTCTCGAAGTCCAGAAGCACCGTGAGGGGATTTGTAGATAGGACAAGGTTAAGGATTAAAGAGCAAGAGCGCAAAGATTTTGATGAATATTTTGATCCGTCTATGTATTACGTTTATCATAATGCTTTGTATACAACTCCATCCAAAACAGGTCCTGAAGAAAATGAAAAGGGGCGTCTGATAGCAAAGGAGGAGAAGGAGAAGGGCTCCGTTTCGTATCGGATGTATCTCCATTACTTCAAGGCTATGGGATACGGTCTGGCACTCTTTGTTTTATTCACCGTGGTGACGAGATCAGCCATTCAGATTTCAACAAACTTCTGGCTTTCTTCCTGGTCTCAATATGACCTCAACTTGACAGGGGTAATATAAGTGGAAGGCGACACCTTCAAAAATGTAGCAAAAGACTTCATCTGAGATTTGGTCGTATAAATCCAAACTTGTTTGTATATTCTGGCAAGATATCTTGACATGGAGTGATATACTTATATCCGGGGCTTATAAGTCTTTAGATATATTATTACCTAAAAGCTTACAAATCTACCATCCTAAAAAAAACCATGATTGCAACTACTTTAGCAAAAATCAACGAAGGCAATCTCCATGTGCGAACATGACTATGACGTATTACGTAATTCGAACACATTTTTTGATGGGAAATAAAATTGGGTATTGAAATTTTCTCTTGAGTCGATTTTTCGAAAATAATAGCGATTGTGTTAACAATATTCTAGCATTCAGATAATCCGACAGAAGACATACAACATTTCACCGGGATTTTCCCACTTTCCTTGATGAATCTCCGTAATTGCTATTTACGACCCCCCCCCCGTACTCTTTGAACAGATTAGGCTATCGTGTTTTTAATCTGGAAGATATACCTCGATAATGAAGATCCAAAAGTCACGCTTAACAGAAAGTGTCGAAGTTATCAACATTTCCGAATTCCGATCGGATTAATATGGGGCGCATATTCTTTGTCAGGTCAACGCACAAGGGTTGGATATGATCAGTATATCACTGACACCGCATACAACATCTTGCACAGAATTTCCCGCCATTCATTAAAACATTTCTGGTATAATGTGTGTCTTTTCAACCAGAATGCAATCGACAAGTCATCATATTGGATCGGTGGTTATGCTGGTCTTTCTCTCAGTACGTTGTTTATCACTTCGGTCTCTATATTCGTCATTGCCTACGGAGCCTTGCAAGCCTCAAGGAACCTCCACTATGCTCTACTTGATAACATCATCCACATACCAATGAGGTAAGAATGTCATTCACTACAAGGCCCGTTGCACACCAGGGGGGGGGGGGGTGTTTCACAAAGATCCTAAGTTGAACTTAAAAATGATGGAAAGCCGTTAGCATCTTTGAAAATATTTTGTAAAACTTATTTTAAAAGGCATAAAATGCTAATTCAATCATTCATATTTTCTATTATCAAGGAGATTTCATGTTCTTGATGTGGAATTAATGAAAAGTCTTGCTTTTGAATATATTTATTTTAAGGCTACAAATGGCTCTTCATAATTTTTAAGTCGGACTTAAAGTTAATCCCGACGAGCCTCACCGGCTGGCTGAGTCGCCGCTAAATATTTCCACGAATCATGGAATTGGCCACCCTTCCATCTTGCCGCCGGCTGGATCCCCCATGGCTCGATCCATACTATGTCTTCCTGCTTACCAGATTATAGTAATAATGTCTTTTATATACCTAACTTAAGAAATTCAGCCATCTGATTGGTCGAAATTGGAGTAGTAATTTTATCTCTAAAGTATTATATACATTGCGACTGTTGTGAAACAATGTTTCTCTCTGTATTCATGCGAAGGTTCTTCGATACAACGCCCATCGGCAGAATTCTCAACCGTTTCTCAAGTGATACCCAACTTATTGATCAGGTAATTATTTCTTGATTTGTATGTTCCAATATTTGTAATTAGTCACGTACGCCGTTTGTCCCCGTATAGATATTGTCATTCACAAATTAATGAATTCAAGTTGGCAATGATTTTGTATGGAACCCTTAATCGGTGATTCAATAAAATATGAGAGTTTGCTAGAACTGCTTCACACCAAGATTAGGGAATCTGATGATGATGTAGTGGTTAATATTAACGATGTTCGAATTTTGTTCGCTAGGGCTAAAGCTGGTAAAGCTACTGGTCAAGATGGGATTTCAAACAAACTTCTAAAAGCTTGCAGCCAGCAACTTGCTGAGGTTTTTACAGCTATTTTCCAAACATGTTTAGATACTGGTGACATCCCACAATTATGGAAATCTTCTATCATAACTCCTGTTCCTAAAGTAACAAAACCGGTAGAGCTAAATCACTACCGTCCTGTAGCAATTACGTCTAATGTAATGAAGTGCTTTGAGAACATTCTTGCTAAATCTCTGAGACGTCAGACAGGTCTCTTTGACCCTACTCAATATGCCTATCAAACCAATAGGAGTGTTGGAGATGCTGTGTTGGTCTTCTTACATAAGATATACCAACACCTTGAAATCCCAAAGGCTTTTGTCATGTGTTTTTATTGATTTTAGTAGTGCTTTCAACACCACTATCCCACATAAATTGGCTGCCTCTCTATCAAATTTTGATGTCTCCCCTAAATTGGTTAGGATCATCCTTAATTTTCTTGTAAATAGGCCACAGCGTGTTAGGTGTAATGGAGTTTCCTCTCGTGATACTTGTGTAAGTATATGAGCTCCACAGGGTTGTGTGCTTTCTCCCCTCCTTTTCTCTGTTTACACCAGTGGAAGCACTTCTCTCTTCTCTAACTGCTCTGTCGTAAAATACGCTGATGACACAGCTATATGCGGCTTTCTAAAGCATGGGCCTGAGAACTATTTCCAAGAAGTACAGAGTTTTGTAGAATGGTGTGATCAATCAAATCTAATCCTCAATGTACAAAAGACAAAGGAAATAATTTTTGATTTTCGTCGCTCTTCACATTCTCATGAGCCTATTACTATCCATGGACATCCCATTGAACAGGTCCCAGAATACAAATATCTAGGGACAATCATCGACAATAAACTGAATTGGAATCCAAATTCACAAGTTCTCGCAGGAAAGGCTAATCAACGGTTGTATTTCCTAAGGAAATTAAGGGAATTCCGAGTTGACAATACCATCCTGGTACTATTCTACCAAAGTTTGTTACAAAGTATCCTTACTTTCAGTCTCGTGTGCATGTATGGGAACCTGTCAAATGAGAATGTGAAGAAGCTTGATAGAGCTAGGAAAGTCGCTCAGCGAATTACTCACACAGAGTTGCCCACAATTGGTGCTCTGTATGAAAAGAAGGTTCTACTGAAGATTCATAAAATAATGCAAGATTCATCCCATCCTTTACATGAGCTTTTTAAGTTCAACCGTTCAGGTATACGTCTAACAGTGCCTAAAACAATACGATGTAGATTCAGACAATCTTTTGTTCCAAATGCCATACACATTTTCAACAATTCTGTAAAACGATGATTTTCTAATTGAGTGTATGTAATGTGTGGATGGTTTGGGTGCATGCGTGGAGCCAGGTCATAATCTTTTCTCCTTTTCTGTCCTCTCTAACTTTACCTGAAGCATTGCTTTGGGTGTGCACCTAATCATTCTACCACTTTCTTTTCTTCTTATTTATTTCCTTATCTATCTCCTTTCCTCTATCTCTGTTGTATTCATGTACCTGACTTCACGCATGCCTGCACACACACATGCATACATGTAAATTGGTATGTTATGCTCTGATCACAACTCTGGTTTTTTGCATGTCTTGTCATGTAAAGCAGAGTCATTTTCATGATAACCATTTTTCGAACAGCTGATGTCTTTTGCCATGCTTTTTTGATCAATTTTTTAATCAACTTTTTAATCAATGTCAATATTTCAAATGTCAGTATTAAGTGCAATAATGTTAAACCTATAACAGTAAATGTCTTTCAACTCAACAAATATGTATATTTGAGAAGAACTGTCTTTTATGATAGTGTTAAAATGCCTTTCACTCTGTCCATAATGATGCGAAACAGTATCTTTTAAACTTTTAATGGATGAACAACGTATCTTGAGTGCGTGCATGAATGTCAGCTGCTATGTTCTTTCTCCCTCCCTCTTCCCTCCTTTCACTTGAAGCTTTGTTTTAGGTGTGCATTTCTCCCTTATTTACCACTTTTTCTTATTTCTCCCCTCTCTTCTACACCGCATCTCTTTGTATACATGTACCAGACTTCGTGCACGCCCTCTTACATGTTTTTAGTATGTTATGGCCGCTGTCCCATGACACATGTATATGTATATGTAAATGTGAAATGGCTAAGGCTAGGTTCCTTATTGGACACTTTTTTATTCCAACTTTCTACTGCACAGGGTCTATCTCTAGCTTGCAGCTCTGAATTTCGAATTTTCGAATGTTGACGACTCATTTGTCTTTTTTTACCACGGGCAGTCACTGTTCTTGATATCCTGTACTCTACCTCTACCTCTACCTCATCTCTTCCCTCCCAGAGCTCCTCGTTTTCTGTCACCTTCTCTTTTCTCCCTCCTTCTCTTTCTCCCTCACATTTCCTTTCTGTTCTACTCCACTCGACTCCTCTCTCTCTCTCTCTCTCTCTCTCTCTCCTCATACCCCTTTTCTGGGAGAGAAGGGGTGAATGTTTCAGAGCACTTTTAAATTCATTTATTCAATGCATTCTGTGCATTATCGAGATCCATTTTTAAATGCCAGTTTTAAAGTTTACATGTCAGCTTTGTTAATGCTATTATTGCTATTACTATTATTGTTATTATTATTATTTTTGTATTTTCTTTGTATCCTCGAATGTATTTATATATTGTTTATGTTGTTTGTATATGTACGGCACTTGCCAGTGGAGGACGAATTTCTGTATTTTTTTAAATCGGACAATAAATTATCTTGAATCTTGAATCTTGAATCTTGAAGAGAATTTATTCAAGATGATGATATCAATATATATTATTCCATCACAATATTTAATATTCCTCTTTGACAAATTAGCGTAAAATGTGTGTGTCTATACGAAGAGTTGCTGTTGATCTGAGTTCAACAAAAGTCTTTAATTCACCACAAATTACATTCTGATAACCCCTAAGAAATATGATTGATTAATCTCTATGAAAGTTACGATTGAATCAAATCAAGCACAACTCTTCAAAAGGCAGGGCCCTGGTCATGTCTTGTTAAGAGTTGGAAAAATTCCACATAGTCCTCCAACCATGCAGTCGCAGACTAACCTTCTAATTCATCCCAAGTACAAAGTCAAGATTGATATTAATCTTAAGTGGCGATCTTCGTGAATGTTTATTCATATACGTATTTATTTTTAACTTATCTATTGATCAGCGTTTAGTACATACACTTCGTCTCCTCATCAACCTCGCAGCCAACGTGGTCAGCTCCCTGATCGTTCAGGTAGTCGTCGTCTGGTACTTCGTCTTCTTCTTCATTCCGATATCCTTCATTTTTATCTTTCTGCTGATGTACTACATAGCAACTTCAAGGTAAAGTCCACCGTTTTAATGTTTATGAGACATTGTGAAGTTGACCGGAACTTGATAGACTACTGTCTGCATTTCATCCGGTACCGTAATACGGGATACATAGTGTTCTAACATAAATAGGCCTAAATATAATGTCTAGAAATTGTGCAGACCATTTCCATATGTTTTATTGGATGCGCTGCTTCGTTTCTAGGAAATTATTGTTCAAAAAATATTTTGCAGGAAAAATCTTATTTTTTTTGTACATAAAATATTAATTCCGTTTTACTGTTTTACTATTTCCTTTTGGTCACTGAGCTTTTTTAATGTGTGAGAATGTTTTTACCGTAAATATTATCATTTGAAATGAGATTTTTCATTCAGCTCGATTCACCTTTTTAATTCTTGTTTGGATTGTCTCACTTAAAGTGATGTATTATTGAAACGCGAAAAATGAATATACCGACTAGCAAACAAGGACTTAACCGTTAGGGAAATAAAACGCACATTTAAAAACGATTGATTGTATATCACGTATTTCAATCGCCTTGTCAGACATTGTTATAAACAATTATAAAAGAATAAACGATATGATTTTATAACTGGATGATTTGTCTTATCCTATAGGGAGTTGCAGCGGGCAGAGAGTGTCTCTCGCTCCCCGGTCTTTGCCCACTTCTCAGAAACCCTAGGCGGTCTGTCCACGATAAGAGCATACAAGGATGAGAAAAGGTTCTTCAAGACAATAATGGAGCGCATCAACGTCAACAATACCGTCTTCCTCTATCTCCTCACATCGATGAGATGGGTCGCTCTCAGACTGGTATGATTTTTAAATAAATATGTGATACTGTTTGTCCCGCCTGGCTCAGTCAGTAGAGCGTCCGCCTCATAACCGGGAGGTCGTGGGTTCGAACCCCGGCCGCGTCATACAAAAAGACGTTAAAAGACGGGAGTTGCTGATACCTTGTTTGGCGTTCAACAATAAGGGATAGAGCAACGTCGATCTGGCGCTGCTCAGTGGCTGCCGGGATCACGATCAACTGGGCAAAAAGAATTTCCATTTTCGGTTTAACTTAATAATAAAATTTGGAGTGGACTTTATTAGATTATTATTATTATTATTATTATTATAGTTGGAGCGAGACATAGATGCCGCGCTGTGTGACAGCCTTCGCTTGGTTCAAGCTTAAGGCTGAAATGTGTGCACCTGTCGTAATTGGACCAAGTTGTACCAATCCTTATGTTATCACTCTCAAGTACAGAATAATGCTCTTTTAATAGGTCCTTCTCTTGATATGTATCCTTCTCTTGACATGTATCCAAGCTCTCCATTTTATCAATTAAAATTATACTGACTATTTAAATGGGTTAGGCCTATGCTTCGTATCAAGTTGGTTTCAGCTGTTTTACTTCCCTGTAAATAGGGGTAATTGGTTGATATTTACTTACAATAAATTAATAGTCTCGTAAGTCCATTGATTAATAGCCTTCTTGTAACTTTGAATTTTGATTTGAATATTTACAGGCATCGAGGAACTCCAAATTTCCCAAAACGTTTATTTGTCCAATTTCATTGATTAAATTCATTGCAATGTCAATTTGACACTTCTTATTTTTGTCTCATTAAATGAACCTTGCATTTTAGTATCCAACATCCAACATCACATTCGTCCATCTGCAGATTAGTGCAAATTTTATTTGAGAAATATATTATTTACTTTTTGCAGGATTATCTTGGTGATTTCGTGGTATTTTCAGCGAGTTTGTGCGTCTTGCTCGGAGCTGCCTATTTGGGTATTGACGCTAGTCTTGTCGGTCTGGCTATTACATATTCATTAGAGGTAAGACTCGACTCATAGCCTGCCATAAGGCTGCATGCACGCTATCGTTATAGTGCTTTGTACACGCGAGAGAGCTATCGCTTGAGTGCCATGTGCGTGCAATGCAGCATTCGTAATAGCAGTTATTGTTCATGCTCATTGGACTGTGCTGTGTATTTTGCACCCGCTATTCATAGAACCATCGCGTTAATCAAATTATCCCCAAAACAACCTGGCACGGGGGGATTTGGGGCTTGGCACAATGGGGATTAGCTCTATGGCATGATAAGAGTAAAGAGTTTTGATTACCGAAAGGATCAGAATTGTTATGAAATTTAAGGATGCATGTAAAATTATATTTTTTCTATATATATATATTCTTCATATTTCATTTCAAATTTTCACGATTGTTTGCTGTGTAAATTGATTGCATGATTTTAACCTTTCCCTCTTCATAACTGAAAGGAAGAAGGGAAAAAGTATGAGGGCACAAATCCACCATTATGATCTTAAGCGTATTTTACCTTTCACCTAAATAACGTTTCTAATTCAGTGCGATTTGTACAGGAAATTACGTTTGCCATCATGTGATTAGAGATTTTTTTTTTAATGTTTACATTTGTTGAGTGATCTTTAACAAAGCAATTTTAGCACGTTAAGCAATAAACTTTCCGTTTCTCCCCCCCCCTCTCTCTCTCTCTCTAATCTCATAGGTTTCACTGTATATGAACTTTGTAGTTCGTCAGTGCTCAGATCTGGAGCTGCAGATGAACGCAGTAGAACGTCTTCGTTTCTACGCGGAGGTACCAACTGAAGATTATGATGGTAGGTAGTCCTTCCGGTCATATGATATACAAATAGAGGTATAAGGTATTATCTTGCCAAAGCTATAATAGTTACCAATTATTTTTGTAGTAAAAGTGTTATTAGTAATTTTAAATGTGAAGATACCAAGAAGAGGGGGACGACAAAAGGTCACGACGCAATGATAATTTCAATTTTTAATGAAATATGGTCATGGGAACGCCCGAAGTTTAGTATTGATGAGGTCAATGACTTAGCATCTCTTTCTTAGTGTACTTACACTCCCTTCTCAAACATTTTATTACATTAAAATGATGCTTCTGTTTGGTGAAATCAATATTTCATAATTATGAGAATTATCATACTGTAATACTTGTGTGGCTTATCCGTCAATTGACAAAAGGGGCATAATCCTCACCAGGCGGAGAAGGGATGTGGGCGGATGGGTGAGGGGTCACGGAGGAGGAATTTATCGTGAAGCTCTGTGTGGCCTATACCTACTCAACGTTGTATTACAACCTTCAAACGAACTTAAAAATGCAGTTGCCTTAAAGCCCATCTGCACTAGTTTGGCCAGGGTTTAGACCTCCCTGCAAGGTCATTGACCGGTGGTTATCTCATCAAATCAGCTCTCAATTAACACAAGAAACTGAGGATCATGGGGGACCAACAGGCACCGATTAGGCATTGTTTGCTATATAGAGGGCGCAAGTAGATATAAGTAGTGCAGTGGGGCTTTAAATACAATGATCAGCAAGTAATATCAAAGCTTAGAAAACTTCTTTTTTTTTTAAAACATATATTTTTAAAGAGTTTGATTTATTTGTATGACGGCAGTATTCATAACAAAACAAAAATATCAACATTTCAAACTCTTTTGACATCTTTGGACAGGTCTTGAGCCCCCTCCTGATTGGCCGGCTCGTGGTGAGATTCAATTTGATGATATCAGTGTGAGATATTCACCCGACCTAGATCCAGTATTACGTGAAGTGTCACTCAACGTATGCTCTCAGGAAAAGGTTAGGAATGATATAATGCTTGTCTTTCCTTCCTAGCATGCAATTATGATTTTGTCCCTCAGTTTAAAAAAAATTAGATATGTTTTGGCCTATATAACCAACTTAAGATTCAATTCATTATGATTTGTTATTCGACATTTTCCTCAATTTATTTAGAATGCTAAATTTACTCTGGGATTGAATATTTACCCTTGCATTTTTAAAAGGAAATTAGTCAAATTAAATCGCTGTACATATTATGGCCTGATATGATATGTCGTTGAGGTTTTAGTTTTAAATGGAATCCCATTTTTACCTGTTTTATTTCTGATGGATGAGACTGTAATGAAAGCAAGTATTGTACCCTGTGGTATTTTGTTTGGAAAGGCTTGTAAAATAAGTTTTAATTGCTTTTTATGTAGTTGTTGAAATCTTGGTTCATCTTTAAAGCATTTGTAATGTCATCACTCTCTCTCTTCTCTTATACTTCACAGTCGAATTATCATATATAATCGTCATTTTCCTTATTTCTTCTATTTCAGATTGGCATCTGCGGCCGAACAGGGAGCGGCAAATCGTCACTGACACTAGCTCTGTTCCGTATGATAGATACATTCAAGGGTAGAATTTTAATTGACGGTATTGATATTGCTGCAGTTCCGCTCCGTACGCTCCGTCAACGACTCTCCATCATCCCCCAAGATGCCATCCTCTTCACGGGAACCATCAGGTATATTCATGATGATGATAGTGGTAGTGGTGATAGTGGTGGAGATGGTGGCTGTGGTGATGATGACGATGGTAATGGTGATTGTGGCGGTGGTGGTAGTAGTGGTGGTGGTAAATGATGATAATGATGGCGATTGTGGTGATGGTAGTGGTAATGTTGGTGTTGGTGGTGGTGGTGATGACGATGATAATGATGATAATGATGATGATGGTAATGGTGGTTGTTGTTGTGGTGGTGGTGGTGATGTTAATGATGTTAATTGTAATGGTGAAGTTAAAGATAAACTTTAGTACTGGTAATGCGATTGCATTGTGAAAGAAAAGGTGTGGAAAGGATCAGAATCAGTTGATCATGTAGCATGTAAGTATTGGTGTGCATTGCAAGGTTCTGGAGTCATCAAAATCATAATAAATTTGACCGAGGTAAAGTAACAAGCACTGTACACAGAAAGCTATATATGGGACAACACACATGGTGTCGGGGCTAGTACTACTTTGATTTCCCTGTCTTTCTATGCTCATTACCCAGTCAGTATACATTTTCTTCCAAAATTGTTTGGCACATGTCATTTATTTGTAATCTTGAACATTCAGTGTAAGTTTCGTTTGATTCTGTGAGAATTAATTTTCTTTTTTTTACCAGAACTGGAGTTTACATTTAAGGGTAGTGGTTGTGGTGATGATGATAATGATGATGGTGATGTGAGTGATGGTGGTTGTGGTGCTGATGATGGTGATGATGATGATGATGGTGATTATGATTATGGCGATGATGATGATGATGATGACGGTGATGATGATGATGGTGGTGGTGATGATGATGGTGATGATAATGATATATTTCTTTGTCTTTTAGGTACAACCTGGACCCGATTGGTACAAAAACGGACAAGGAATTATGGGAAGCGCTCGATGTAGCTCAGCTGAGGGAAGTCGTTTCCAATATTGATGCAGGATTGGGTAACTTTTTTTTAAACAATTATAATTTTGAATGATTCACTACTGCACTTATTATCTCGTTTCAACTCAAGTCAATTTAAATTACCCATTATTCAGGTCATATAGGATTCGCAATTTTTCGAAAAGTCATTGTCTTCGTATTCTTGTGAAGCAATAATTGCAGGGCTCTTGCAATGTCTGCGAAATTTGGCGACAACATTCTGTATGGCGTAATTCCTACTACAGAGTACCTTTGATAATTTCGTAATTTCCTTTTTTGTTTTATATAAAGTATCACATCGTATTTTCTCTTTTACCAATCTACTTAAAAATAAGAACAAATCTTGATTATGCTATTGTCCTAGTTATTGACTGTTCTGCACAATCATTCTATTCCTCTAAATACCTTGATGTAATTTGATTCCCACCTTCGTTGATCAGATTATGAAGTGACCGAAGGAGGAGAAAACTTCAGTGTTGGTCAGCGTCAGCTCTTCTGCCTCGCCAGAGCTTTTCTCAGACATTCAAAGATTATTGTCATGGATGAGGCGACCGCTTCCATCGACCAAGAAACGGTATTTTTTTATTCATTTGATTCATGGAACATGAGATTTACTTGATTTATACAGTACAATTAAGTTACATGAATCAAGAGAGGTACAAGTCATGAAGCATGAAGGACACGAAGTAAAATCAGAGAAGGGGAAAACATAGAAAATGGTTGTACCTATAAGTTCAATCTTCTATCCAGACTCGGAATAAAAGGGTCATAATAACAAGCTCGTCGCTAGGCCTTCGATGATGATAGTAATACTAATAATAGACCACATTTATAACGCGCCTAATACATTGTTTCTAGGCGCAGTGGTGCTGTTGTTCCAGCAGCCATTAAGTGAAGCAATGTCCTTATACAAGAAATAAAGCCGGGACTACAGCACCACAAGTACACAATATTATTCAGTACACAATTACAGTATGTTACGCTATGTTACGTTACAAAATCAAAATGATGAAGGGAGGAGGTCTGACCAAATCTGTGGAAGGGAGTGGGGGAGGGTAGGGGTAGAGTGTAATGAGTGATTTTCTGGCCAAAATAATATTCATTGCAGATCAGACAAGCTAGCGATATGAGAATTCATGCATATGTCATAAATATTATCGCTTTAATGTTAACAGGATTTGATTCTGCAAGACGTAGTGGCTGAAATCTTCCAGGACAGGACAGTTCTAACCATTGCAGTAAGTGACAAAACTGGCGTGGGTCTGTCAAACTGTACTTGTCTTGAAATGAAATTTAAGACATCTGCATTTGTGAAGAAAATCGTCTTTCACTCCATGTGTGTAGCCTCAAATTATTCACCCGCATACATGAAACCTAATTTGATATTTTTTTTAAATAGAAATTATGTCACGCATATTTTGTGCATTTAAAAAATGACATGAAATAAAACCTCAAGGAACTCTGTAGGTCAGGGCCCGTCTTACAAAGTTACGATTGATGCAAATCAATCGAAAGTCCTCCAATCAATGCAAGTTTGCAGTCTCCCATCTCTTTTTGTACATAGTTGCGATTGATATCAACTCTTTGTTAAGACGGGGGCCCAGGTCTCAATTGAATATTGTAATATAGAGATATACTTCTGACGTTGTTCTATTTACTGAAATCTCATCCATTTAATTATTACCTAGTAATATTCTATTCACGCCCACACCAGACCGAAAACAATAAAAGCAATTACCAAAAATCTCCAAGATCAGTATCGATCGGTTTGGAGGCGTTTTACCGTGTGAATGATCATGTACAATACCCAGGTCAGTCCATCGCGAGATCGACTCCGGATCGAATCCAGGCCAACAGACCTAATTTAATTTGTATAATATCTCACATGTCACAGAGAGTCAGTTAACCTGTATGACTTGGGATAAACAAGCAGCAATTTAATGTAATTATAGTCCGGCAGCCATCTCGATATACCTTGTTTTAGGGTCTATAGTTTTTTTTTCTTCGGATTATAGTTCCTTAGACCATCAATTTGAAGAATTCGATTGCTGACACTCTGTCAGCATTGAGCAATTTGAGATATGTGACGTCACACAAAATGGCCGCCAAAATCCCCCTTTTAACCAAAATTATTGATTTAAAAAGTGTTAACAGCATTTTTCTACATAAAATGACTGTCAAATATCTTGATTTTTTTTCTAGGATCATCACTAAATAAAAATTACAATGTTGTATGATCACAAATGACATGTAAATTTGCATAATTCGGAATGGCGCCCTCTGTAGACTCGTTAACTTGCATAGTTCAAAATGATGGTCAAATGGCAATTTCTAACATACATTATCATATGTCATGAGTCAGATACATTGGATATATTGAGGAAAAATTGTGCCGCACAGTTGTTATTTTTTTGTAATTTTATGATCAGAGAAAACACGCTTGAATTTCATGCCCATGTCCCATATATATGAGGTGGCATATGGTGATAAATGCCCGTTTTTAGTGACAGCGTTAAGAAACTAGATTTGTATTTTGAGGTAATAGATTTTTGTATGTGAACCGAAAAATTTTACGAACTATCTATACGTACAAAGGACTATATCTGGTTTTAAGTTTGCTTCACAATCTTAAAACAAATCGTTTAAAGGCCGTCTAAAGTGTTGGGAACCCTAAAATATTCCATGCTGAGACGGTGTAATTTAACACTTAATTTTGCAAAAATGTTCAAAACAAATGTGTTCAAAGTGAGGTCGTGACTGTAAGGCGTGCTTCCACAGACATTGTGCAGATAAGCTCTCTGAACATTTTCTACAAAAACGTTTCAGTAGTTTGAGGTAGTGGGGCAAGGTTCTTCGTACCCTTGATATATAGCCACACATTTATACGAGCCTTTGACATTGAGTTTGCTGTTGACTGTTCATAACATGAAGCAAAGAATCGAGTAGATTGCGTGATGACATATGACCATGCTGCACCAACATTGCCAACTGAGTCCAAAGGGAGTCGAATCTTCTGCTTCATAACTTTCAGCATTTCACCCTTTCCAATGCCAAAGTATGCCCCCAACAGTGTCGCATCCCGTCAATGCATGTCCTGCTATCATCGATGGAATGATATCTCCTAACTTGTCTACAGTGGCAGGAATATCAATAACAGTTCGCTCTTTGGTGGGCGACTCCATGTTCATTGGCGTTTTATAAGTCTGTCATGAAGATATTGATGCAAAATTAGTACGTACACGTCTGTGTCATCCACCAGGACCATAACATACCTCTTCTCATTAACATCAATTCGAATTGCTTGCTGTACTATGATGTTGCCTGCTTCTTCATACGTTGTGGACAGATCTTTCCTTGGCATGACATCGCTGCCTGGTATCACTTCAACAGGAACCTCATCTTGACCGGTAATGACCAGCAAAGAGGGCTTATTTAAGATCCTTCCAAAGATATGCCCCCGAAGCTTCAGAGCCTCATCGAGTCCTTCCATACAGGCACGAAGGGGACAGTGCAATGTAACGGCAGCACGTCAGAGCCATTTGACATCCGCAGCGGAGTCAAACAAGGCTGCGTCCTTGCTCCGACTCTCTTTGGGATCTTCTTTGCCTTACTCCTGCCTACGGCTTAGCAACAGAGGGGATCCACCTAAACACTAGATCAGACGGCAGCCTGTTCAACCTTGCCCGTCTCAAAGCCAAAACAAAAGTACGGGAGGTTCTGATCAGAAACATGCTGCTTGCAGATAATGCTGCTGTCGCAACCCATACGGAGCAGGAGCTCCAGACCCTCATGGACAGTTTCTCCAATGCCTGCAAGGACTTTGGGCTGACTATCAGTCTGAAGAAGACGAACGTCCTGGGACAGGGTGTAGAAGCGCCACCATCCATCACCATTAATGACTACGAGCTGAAAGCTTTGAACTAGTTCACGTACCTTTTCAGCAACCTCTTCCTGTACGCAGAGCTCAACAAGAGAATAGGAAAGGCAGCAACAACACTCGCTCGCCTCACCACACTGTTGTGGGGTAACACCAAACTCTCTGTCAAGACAAAGATGGCAGTGTACAATGCTTGCGTCCTCAGCACACTGCTGTACGGGAGTGAGACATTGACGAGCTATGCCAAGCAAGAGAAGAGACTGAATGCCTTCCATTTGAGATGTATCCGCCGCGGCATCTCATGGAAGGACAAAGTGCCGAACATCGAAGTCCTATCTTGTGCCGGCCTTCAAAGCATGTTTACCCTCCTCAGACAACACAGACTCCACTTTCTAGGTCATGTCCATCGTATGGAGGATGGCCGTATCCCAAAGGACATCCTATAAGGTCAGCTGGCAACTGGCAAGAGAGACACTGGCCGCCCTCAACTGCGCTTCAGAGATGTCAAGAGGGATTTGAAGGTTCTGAAGGTTAACACAGAACATTGGGAGGAACTCGCCACCGACCACTCGAGCTGGAGAAGTACCCTGACAGTGCGGCTGCAGGTAGGGGAAGACCAACTGAAGAGTGCAGCGGAAGAGAAGTGGACTCGCAGAAAGAACGCTGCTACTCACGGCACAGAGACAATCTATAAGTGCGACTTGTGTGACAAAGACTGCCACTAACGCATCGGTCTGTTCAGCCACAGACAGTGCTGTTCCAGCAGGACAGACAGTTAGCATTCACACCCATGGTCTGTACAGACTGAAGGAGGCCTATTTTGCCTATTTCTGGACACCTCATCATTCTGCAGACTCGCGCATATATGGTGTCAATCAACTGTAGTTTATTGTCACTGTCACTAACAGTGAAAAGAATAGTGAAGTCAAAAACACAAGAGACATGTTTAAAAACATCAAGTCATTGACCAAGAAATACGCCCAAACTAAATGTCTTGAAGGATGAAAATGGGAACATTTTAACAGAGGATGAAGATATAAGGCAAGGTGGAAGGAGCATTGTGAAAAACCGTATGCTGCAAAATAAACTGAAGAAGTTATTACTCAGGAAGGAGTAAGCGTCGAGGACGAGCCCATGCTTAAACCTGACATCTTACAAAATGGAGTGAAGGAAGCAATAAATCATCTGAAACATGGAAAGCACCTGGTATCGAAACATCCCTGCGAAGCTTTTCAAAGAAAGTGGAGAGGAGGGCGTAAAGGTCATGCATAAGCTGTGTAACAAAATAGGGAGACAGAGAATACGGCCACAAGACTGGAAAAGAGCTGTTTTTCTCCCACTCCCGAAGAAAGATGTTACACATGAATGTGCCAACACCCGCACTATTTCTCTTATTCCGCATGCCAGTATAGATTCTTCTTCACTTGATTGCTGAAAGAATTAGAAACCACCTAGAAAAGTAATAACCACCAAAACAAGCAGGGTTCAGTCAAGGAAGAGGAACAAAAAACCAAATTGGTAATCTCAGAAATTTGACGGAGAAAAGTAAAGAATTCCAACAACCTATCTACCTAGCTTTATTGATTATTCCAATGCTTTTGACTGTGTACAACATTAATGCCTATGGAAGATTATGAGCGAGATGGGCTTCCAGCACATATTATTCAACTCACCAGTCGCTCTACGAAGACCAAGAAGCATCAGTAAGAACAGGGATTGTCGACACCGAATGGTTCACTATTGGTCAAGTAATCCGTCAAGGCTGCATCCTATCACTTTACCTTTTCAACATCTATGCTGAATTCATCATCAGAAAGGCTTTTGATGTGTTTGATAGTCAAGTTTCTGTTGGTGGACGAACAATTACCAACCTAAGATACGCCGACGCCGACTTGGGGGCAGTTGACCCCTTAATAAAATTCGAATTGTTTTTTGTTCTTATTCGATACCAGTGATTCACAAATGTTGTTGAAATGACATAATTTTCAGGGATTTTTTTTCTCACTTTCTCACAGTCAGGAAAATAGAAGCCTACATGTCAGGGTCCGCGGAACGGCGGGGCTCAGGGGACTCGAGCCCCCCCCCCCTCAATATTTTGATCAAGACTGTTAAAGAGAAATAGAAAGAAAGAAAGGAATAGTGACCTGAGGTGAAATGAGTTATCAAAATATGCTCATCTGACCGTAATTAAATGCCTAAATCCCCTGAGCTTCCGGGGGCTTGTCCTTTAGACCCCATCTCGGGCCCTGAGGCAGGCCTCAATACCTTCAAATGATTGGAAGGGAATGAACCCCACCCTGGCCCCCAGGATCTGTGTAATGAAGGCATTGGTTTTCCAAGTAGGAACTTATGGGTATTAGGAAAGGCAGACAGGGGAGCAATATCAGCCTTCAAAATGTGATGTTGTAGGAAGCTACTTGGGATATCATGGATAGATCACATCACCAATGAACATATAATGTCCATCATCGGAGATCAACCGCCACTAGCTAACAGGATCGATAAGTAAAAGCTGTACTAGTTTGCTCACATTAGCAGAAGATCAGGAGACAACCTTGAACAAATATCATTCAAGGTCCCTTTGAAGGAACACGTAACAGCTCAGATGGAGTGACGGTCTTAGGGAAATCACTAGCCACCCTCTAAATACTAAATACACTCTGACTACCGGATGGCAGGAGATAGATGCCGATCGAAAGCTCTCATCACACGGGTCACTAAGGGTCAGCCATGACCTATAGGACAACAACGACGACGACGAACAGTGAGAGATAGTTTCTTTGAGGGCAGCAGTGATGCGGGACTCAGTTGGAAGACTCTTGACCCGTCATGACTTCTAGATACTATTGTATCTGTCTAACACCAAGCAAACATCAGATTTTAATCCACAGTATGGCACAACCATCAATAACCTGCACATGGTTGTTCCAGTGTCTTATATGCCTGGCTGACATCTCAACTTTTGTCAAATTATATAAGTCCGCCTGTGGCGTAATTGGGAGTGCACGATTCCAGAATCATTACAGGGTGCTGTTTGGACTGATGAAAGCTCTTATGACAAAATGTCCTTGACATTGACATCTCTTGAAATTTCCTGCAGCCCTACATGTATTACTCTGGAGTAGATCAACTTTTCATAGAATTTCGTACCCCCAACAATTATTGGCTTCTTCATGGCTGCCATGGTTTGAACTTTCCTGGAAATTGTGTCATTTAATTCACCAGGTAATTTCTTTTCAAGCTCATGCATCTGTCTAGTACCGATATCAACTGCTTTATCCTCATTCACTGACGTTGGAGCAATGCTGGTCTAAATAAAGCCTATCAATAATGTGTGCCGTAAAACCACTTCTCATCGATTTGATGAAAAATAATTCTTTCATAGGCCTATTTGTTTCTTGACATATGTATCTAAATTTATACCAAACAAGATGAAAAATGAAAGCAGCATAGCCGTAATTGTTGCATACAACGCATTTGATATGATTTTAACGTTACATAGCTTTAGGAAATTGGCATTTGGCAGACACACATATTTTATGCAAATTGATATGTTTATAGAGGGCGCTATTTCAAAATATGCAAATTAGCTGGTCATCTATGGCTATGCAACATCACAACTTAATTTTGTTAGTGATGGTCCTAGAGAGATGCAGACATTCGGCTGCCCAAAATTGTAGAAAAATCTTTATTATATATTTATTATTCATTTTTAGAGAAAAATCATGTACTTTGGCGGCCATTTTGTATGACGTCATATATTTTAAATTGCTCAAGGCTGACAGAGTGTCAGCAATCGGATTCTTGAAATAGAAGGTCTAGGCTATCAAAATCCATTGAAAAAAAAACTATAGACCCTAAAACAAGGTTAGGCCAATAATCTGGATTTGGCTGCCGGACTATTATACTATTTGCAAATCTTTCCAATATCCTTGTCCTTCTTCAGCATCGTGTGGCGACGATATTGAACTCAGATGCGATCTTGACGCTGAGTGACGGTCGTGTGGCAGAATTCGATACACCAGACGATCTCCTACAGCGAGATGACAGCATTTTCGCTTCGCTCGTGAAAGCGGGAAAGTAATTTAAGGGAAGTTGAAGTTGTAGGCTTGCAATATTTCACATAGTTCATCCTTTCTTTAAAGTATGAATTACTGTGTGAATTTGATTATACGCCTTAAAGGAAAAATAACAACATATTCTTAAAGAAAGCAGAGAAAGCAGAGAAAGCAGAGAAGGAGATTGATAAAAATTTGACCTAAATCGGACAAATATTAAAGATACTATGTCCCTTTTGCAGCCAAGCAGGATTTATGAATAAGTCACGTATGTCCTATCTGTGAAATTTAAACGTTAGCAGTGTCCTAATATTCAAATTATGCAAGGAAACCCGTTTTCTTGCTAGACTTCACTGTCAGACAATATTGTCAGTATTGAGTGAGTGACTGGCTCTTTTCTTCTTTGGTAACTAACATACATAAAATGAGCTGTAAATGATTTGTCTACATCAATAACCTACTTCTTGTAATGGCCAAAATTAAACTGATTGAATCTTTGCGCAGCATAAAACGTACGACCATGCGGTACAATGGTCTGAAAATCAAGATTATTACTTATTGGCTCTATAGCTCCTAAGTCGATTTGGCAACTAATTGTCGTTATTGTCCCTCTATAAATTTTCAAGCCCCCCCCCCCCTTTTTTAAGGGGAGTTCTAAAATAGTATTATCTTTCAAATGCCATTGGAATTTAACCTTTTCATTTTTTTGGCCTGCAAATGGGACACAGAGTTATGAATTTTCGAAAGTTTTCATCACTACACAATGTGTAAATTTCAAATTGACGGAAAACATTTTATTCATTCAACCACATACCAGGCGCGGATCCAGGAACCCATTTCTACCGGCCCGGCTATGGCAACCCCTTTGTGTAAAAACTAGATAAACTCTGTTTTTCTCAGATAAACTCTGTTTTTCTCAGATAAACTCAGTTTATCAACAGATAAACACAGTTTATCAGAAAAACTCAGTTTATCAGTTGATAAACTCAGTTTATCAAGAAAAACTCAGTTTATCAATGATAAACTCAGTTTATCAACAGATAAACAGAGTTTATCAGATAAACAGAGTTTATCAGTTGATAAACTCAGTTTATCAGAAAAACTCAGTTTATCAGTTGATAAACTCAGTTTATCATTGATAAACACAGTTTTTCTGATAAACTGAGTTTATCTAGTTTTTACACAAAGGGGTTGCCATAGCCGGGCCGGCAGAAATGGGTTCGTGGATCCGCGCCTGCCACATACACTGACTTTAATCACTTTTCCCAAAACGGTATAACTTGTTCTAGGATCTTTTTGTCCATTTGAAGGACCTATGACCCCTATGACATGCTTTTCAAAATATGTTTGGAGTACTTCCCCGAAGTAGAAAAACTTGAAATTAATGTATATCACTTCCAAATGGGAGAGTTAGTCCCTAAAACTTCTCAGCCGATTGATTCATTTACAAATATTAGGTTCCTATATAGTGATTTCAACTTTTCAAAATCCGTCATTATTTTGTTCGATTTAATGCAATCTTTGAAAAGATCTGATTTTATACGTTTTCATCCAAGATTTCAAATGATTTCTTTTAAATCACGTAACATGGTGTCAGCAACCGGTTATTTGTTTCCAACAATCTTACTTAGAACTACACTATTCAGTATTCACTTTCTTGTACTTTAACACCTTTACTGTATGAATGACTGCATTTATCGGATGGCACATTATTTCGAACCGATTTCACAATAATCGACAAATAATTGACAAATATTTTTATATGAATTATTTAAAGGTTAAGAAGATCGGCTTAATTAAAGTTCTTTGAAGTTTACTTATGGTGCATTGACGTACATTTATATTTCCAAGATGTGTATATTAATCCTTAGTTACGTCATGTAATCTGTACTTCAAGTAGTGCATTAAAGGTGAGAATAAATATATTTTCAGAATTAATTTTTTTCTTCTTCTGAAATGCAAGTTGGTGAAATATATGTTTATATACTTGTGGATAAGAGATAGTTGTTGAAATTAATTATAAAGTTTTTCCTAATTATGTTGTTCTCCATTTTTTTACAGAACGAGTTATCGGTTTACTTGTGGTATATTCCTTTGTTTAAATTTGGTTTTAGTATTTCTTTTTCTATGTATGCCTATAAACAATGGAAGTATAGTGTAACATTTGAATGTGATTTTGATGGAGGCCCCGACTAGAGTACCGATACAAATAGTACTATATTTTAAAAATGTATTAAGTATGAAGAATGAAATTAAAGACGATGTATAAATTTGACAAAACCATTTAATTATCCAACTGTTCATTATGAGGGAACCTGCGATGTTTCCTTCTCCTTAGATCTATTGAAAGAAAAAAAAAACTTAAAAATTTAGAAGGGGATAAACAAAGACGATGATCTTTGGAGGCCTTAAAAAAGATTTATTTATGTTATGCATAATGCCCAATTGTCTTCAAGGGGTGTTTCATCAAGCCTTACAATTGATCTTCAAATTAATCTAAATCGATTTTAGCTTAAAATTGATTTGATGAAACAACTCACAAGCAATATAAACTTTAAGATAAAACTGAATTTGGTTAAAACTTGATTTTTAAAATCAAAATCAATTTTAGTTGATGAAACAACCCCAGGGGTTATTTGGGGTTACTTGGCACGAAACTGAACATATTTAGTGGAGGCTTATTCACGAATCGTCACTTTTTCACATCATTTCACATCATTGTTTGTAGATTTTATGTACTTTGCTGCAATTCATCTATTATTTCTGTATCAACCGAAACACAAAAAGAGGCATTAGTATATTTTATATTTAGTTTTTCTATGCTATTCTTAATAATTTATGTACGCATATATTTTTATATGAAGATAGGAGAACAGTACTGTAGCAATTGTTAATCGCACTGTCATGTGACGCTTCCAAGGTGCTTCCTGAGATGTTGTATGTGGTTGACATTATGCAATGGCATAGAGTTGGGGGGGGGGGGGACACATAGTATACTGGATGGGTAAAATAAAAAATTTAAAGGCCATCAGACAGGATGGTGTAGCCGGGAGGAAATCGTCTTTTCGAGTTACTTTCTTACCTTCGCCCCTTTCTCTCTCTCTCTCTCTCTCTTCCCTCTCTCTCTGCAGGGAAGCTATAGTTGCGCCACAATAACGGTTTTGAAATACATGTGTATCAGTATGCAAGATATGGGAGGGACCTAAAGTCCTGATCGAAAATAACTATTTATTGGCCCTCGTTTTCTACCAGAATCACTAAAGGCTTCATGTACAATGATGGATCTAGGATTGATTTTTGGAGAGGGGGCAAGTAGAACAAAAGAAAGGGGTCTCACAATTAAGGAGTCCCATTTCAGTCCAAAATATGTGTACACTTTTTTTCCTTTCTTAAGTTGTGCTAAATTGGGTTTAGGTTTGGGAGGGGGCGTCGTGTGCCCCTACCTCTGGATCCGCCATTGAAACATTTCCAGCCTTAAGGTATGTCGCTGTAAGAAGAAAAAATTCTTCATTTTACATGTTTACAAGAAGAGTAAAACGCTTTTAGTCCATAACGTTGGAATTCAAAGGGTAATACTTTTGAGTTATTTTCACGTCACCAGGCACAATGTAATGCTTTTTTTTTTTTATTTGTTTAAAACGAATTTAGTATAATATTGCGTTTATCTTGATCGGGGCCTTATTTTTAAGCACAATATGTTTTTTTAGAGGTATTGGCCTATTATGTACACGAATTTTGTATTTATGTTTTGTAATTTTTTCACGATGACAAATTAATTGAATAGAAAAAAATGATTTGAATTTATTGATCACTTTTAGTACTAATCTTTGCAGCATTTATGTATATATCTGTCAAATGATTTTTATATTTCATGATTATCTATGTAATTAATATAATTCACTTTGGTTATACGGATGAAATGATTAATATTGTGCGTTTCTGTCTTACTAATGTAATCAAATAAACAGCTCTAAATTCTCTTCTTGTCAAGAAATTATGTTTATGAGTCTATGAAGCATAATACGCTACCAGTGTGTTGCTTTTAATTTCATTTCAAATTTTATTCCCTGGTCTTTTAGGTATAAGACATATAACGAATAAATAAAAGAAACGCTTTTCTCGAAACTCCAATCAAGTAGTAAAGTATTAACATCTTGAAGAAATGACCACAAACAAGATATACTTGCGCCCTAAAACAAAACGTAATGTGTCGTTTTAATTTCCTGAATTCGGAATCCGATGTATTTCTACCAGCAAAACAAAAATTCATACATTTAACGGTTCTAGGACAACTACCCCTAGGACGACTACCCCCGGACAACTGCCCTGGAAAACCATCCTCTAGGACACCTACCCCCTGGACAACTATCCTAGGGGTTAGTTGTCTGGGGATAGTTGTCCAGGGGGTAGATGTCCGGGGGTAGTTGTCTGGGGGGGGGGGGGGTAGCTGTCCTAGGGGTAGTTGTCCGGGGGTAGTTGTCCAGGGGGTAGTCGTCCTAGAGGGTGGTTGCCTAGGGGAAAGTTGTCCTAGAGGGAAGTTGTCCTAAGGGGTAGTTGACTGGGGGCGTTATCCGGGGTGGATGTCTAGGGGGTAGGTGTCCGGATTCGACATTTAACAACATGATGCAATACACAACCTCCGGGCGAAGTTTACGAACAAAATCTCATTATATCAAAGTAAATTGCCGGTAAGCATATTCCACTGTTAAAGCCTTAGTTTACAAACATAGTAGAATAATGTCCGAGCACCATAAACACCACCCCGTTTACCCCAATGAATTTGGGGATGATTCATTCATAAAAGTATCACTAATAATATAATATCCTAGCGATATAAACTAAATTGAAGCCGGAAAACACTGTATTAATATACAAGTGGTTAAATTATTTTAAATACTATACTTTATACTATATTTTCCAAGATACAAATTAGAAATTTCAGTTGACCACAGATCTCTAAGACATTCATATTAGAAAAACATGCACCAAAACATACATATATGAAAGACAATAGTTATTTTCAACCCCAGAAAATCTCATTGCAATAATACCATGTTCTGACTCTACATTTGCCACACATTTCTAAATAGCCCAAATTACAGTGAATAATCGTAATATTTCGAATTACATGTATATAAAAAACACTTTCTGAGAACTCAAGATGGTATATGACACTGATACCGTGATAAATTATCTATATATTATTATCTGAATACGAAAGGAATACGTGTATAATGATTGTATAAATAATACAATGTTAATATTTTTAACGTATATAACGAATATAACATTCAAATTCCATATTCTCAAAAAAGTGACACATTATTTACTTTGCGTAGCTTCATGACAAATATTGATTTATAAGTTTAACTACCGAGTTGTTCTGAGAACGAAAGATTTGTATCCACACATACACATGCTTCCTAAACAGTCGGGTAAGACAAACAATTAAGCAATCGATTTGAAAAATAACTTAACAAACCTAATATCCAACTTTGCAGCATATATGGCAACCTTATTTTAAATACAGTCATGTACCATCATTATCAAAATTTGATATCGTATGTAAAAACTTACCATCCTTAGCAAATACTGGCTGTTATAACCCTGTAATACCAAAGCAAGGTTATATTTTCCTAGTTACAAAATCGAAATTA